TGGAGCAGGATCTACTGCAGGGAGACCGGGCTGGCTGAAGAGGCTGGTGCTGAGGTGGCCCAGCGCGAGGCCACTTGGCTGCCACTGACAAGTTCCTTCTGATATGGAGGAGGTGAAGAGCAACCCTTTTCTGTAGGTTTTGTTTTTGCTTTGATCCTGATTCAGACAAAGGGCCGCTGACATCAATCCCCCTGAACGCTTTTTCTCTATGGAAGCCAAGACACACCCTAGGCGTGGAGGGTCCCCGCGGGTGGCAAAGTGCGTCTGCTCTGTCGAAACGACACAGGTAGAGAAGGGTTGGAAGAGGTAATCATCCTCAGCTCCCCTTTACCCCGCACAGCCTCCTGCAGGCGCCCCTGGCCTCTTGCATCCCTTACTGCAGGGCGTGTGTGTGTGTGTGTGTGTGTGTGTGTGTGTGTCACAACCCGCTGCCCCGCCCCGGTCCCCCTGTGGGGCGGGAAACCCAGTGGCCTTTGTCCCCTCCTGATGTATCCTTTGCCTTAGGTAACCCTGCACCCCAGCCAGCCCGCTTTCAAAGTCGCGTTTCCCAAAGTGTCCAGAGGACAAAAAGCAGCAGCAGCTGCCTGCAGCCCTTTTTTTTTTGGACAGAGCCTGGGTATAAATAAATAAATAAATGGACCCACACAAAGAAAAAGGTTTTTTAAAAAAAATATCAAAGATAGAAGCTTTCCTTCTGGCCTGAGGTCTGAATGGCAGGCTTTTTATGAGTCTTGAAAATGGGGCGTTTTGGAGTTTTTGATCCCTGTCTTCCTTTTGATGCTCTTGTAATTCCAAATCAGAAAAGGTGTTTTTTTTTGTTGTTTTCTTTTTTTTGAAATGCCTGGCTCAGGCTTTGGGTGGAGCGTGGAAAGTGGGCGTCTTTGGAAACATTTGAGTCAGCGCCCCTCCTGTCCCGGCTGGGCCCTGCCGGGGTTGGGCCTGCTCCGTCTCACCCGGATGTGGTGATCCCTCCCGCCTCATGAGTGGGAACTGCGGCACAGAGTGGTTAAGCCGCTTGGCTGAGGCAGCACAGCCTGGTGGTGGCCGGGCTGGGATCTGAAGCCAGAGACACACTCTGCACAGGTCTAAGAGCAGGTAGACTTGGGGCTCCGTGGGGGTGCAGGGGGCTGTGTGCCTAGCAGGGTGGCTCCGCTGTGACCTGTCACTTCCGTAGACTTGCAGGAGTTAACTGTGGGCGGCAGGGCAGGTGCACACAGGAGGTGCTGGGGACGCGTGAGCGGCCCCTCCTCCACCCCCACCCACAGTCAGGTTGTCGGCCACTGTAACCCTGGGTGACCGTGGGGCTGGAATGATCCGTTCCCACGCGTGACCAGGGAGAGTCCACTTAGCACCCTGAGTAGCAGCTTTGCTGAAAGTTCAGCGGCTCAGGGGGTGGTGGCCTCTACGTCCCCCCGACATCCTGTGCCCAGCAGGAGTGGCTGTCCGCGCAGTAGCCAGGTGGTGGCGGACCGTCCTAGCAGACCGTCCTTGTGGTCTCCTGGCTTCTCTCGCCCCAACTCCCTGGTGTTTCCCCATTTCCTGTGCTCTGAGCCCATGGCCGTGAGCGCCGCGTGGTCAGGTGACCGGGCAGTGGGCGCAGCACCGGCAGCTACCCTGGCCGTCACCAGCACCGAGGCCCTCCCCGGCCTTGCCTGCTTCCCGCCCGTTATGGCTGCCTCCTGCGGGTCCTCCCGCAGCACAAGGCCCCTCGCCTCCACGGCTGCTGCAGGAAGCCCTTGTGTGTCCCCATCCCTCCTGTGAGCCCCGTACCGCGCACCCACGGCCTCCTCTAGTCCCCAGGGTGCTCTGGGAGGCGGGTCTTCTGTCACTTTGGGGAAACCGAGGCTTAGCAAGTGGCAGAGTGGGATTTGAACTTGGGCTGCGTGGCTGTAGCCTGTGCTCGTGGCGCTGGGCCTGGGGTCTGTGATCGTGTCCCTCTCCCTGGCGACAGGCCCCTTGGGAGGGCATTGCTGGTCCGGAGCCTGGTGGTTTTCCTGAGCCCGTTTCTCATTTATTAAGGTCACAAAGTCCCTGGCCTTGTTTAGTGGCGTTTTTGATGCTAAAGGACAGAGTGAGATTTCTGTCTTTATGTGGCCCAGTTTCTGGGCTTTGAAAATGCTGTTATCTTCCTCTTCCCCTGCTGGGGTTTTGAAATCAAGCGAGGCTTCTTGCCTTCTGCTGGCCACTCGATGTCCAGGGGCAGGGACAGCGTCTCGTCTTTCCAGAGGAGTCGGGTGCCCAGTGGTGACCGCCTGCGTGGCTTCCGTGCCCCCTGCGTGGCCTTACTCTTAAATGGACCCAGGCCTTGCGCTTCCTTGGATGTCAGTGTGACCACTACACATAGCTGGCAGGGACCTCCTGTGTGACACAGCTGGGAACATGGGTTTTGGAGTCCATGGTCTTGTGCGGGCTGCTGTGCCGTGAGGACTTGGGTGAAAAATCGCCTTTTCTGTCCTTTAAGACTCTGCCAGCTGATTATCTCAGCTCTCCAGGAGGCTGAGGCAGGAAGAGCGAAAGTTCAAGCGCAGCCTGGGTAAATTAGCAAGACCCTGTCTCAACAAACAAAACCCTCCCACAATAAAACAAACAAACACTCAAAAAACATGGCTGGGGATGCTAAGACTATTGCTCTGTGCAAAGACCCTGGCTTGCATTCCCAGTACACCAACAAGTAAACAAACAAAACGAAACTGCGCCTAGGATGTGGTAAAACTATTTGTGGAACTTTGGTCTCTGTTTTCTCAGCTGGCCGGGCTCACCGTGGGGACCTTGGAGTAGTTTCAGGAGGCAGAGCAGATGGAGTCTGCATGTTCACTGAGGCCTCTAGCGTTTTCTGCGGCAGAATTACTGCACGACTTGGGGGTAAAAAGCTGAGGAATTGGGCGTTGAGAGCCGGCCATGCCCAGAGCCTGTTTGGTGAGGGCATGGTGGGCTGGGGCAGGCAGGTGAGCCAGGAATGGCAGGGCTGCCTCAGACCTCAGCCGGGAGCAGCACCTCCCCAGGGGAAGGCAGACTGTGGACAAATACACAGGTTGTAGCATTTACCATCTTAATTATTTCCAAGTGCCTGGCTTAGCAGGGCCTAGCCAAGCACATCCAGTATATGCAGCCGCTACTGCCGTCCATTGCAAGAACTTTCTCATCTTCCCAAGCTGGAGCTCTGTACCCAGTAAGCGTGAGCCCGCCTCCCATCCCTGGCCACCACCTTTCTAGTTTCATCTCTGTGCATGTGACTGCGCTGTGTGCCTCCTCTAAGAGGCATGGCACAGTCTTTGTGCGGCTGACTTTAGTTCTCTGAGCACAGTGCTCCTAAGGTCTGTCCGCGTTGCAGCAGGGGTCAGCATGTCCTTCCTTTTCAGGGCTGAGTAGTAGTCCATGCACAGAGGGGCCACATTTTGCTGCTCCATTCTTCTGGCTGTGGATCTTTGGGTTATTTCCACCCCGTGGCTGTCGTGACTGTTGCTGCTGTGATCGCGGCTGTAGGAGGGGCTCTCCTCTCCCGAAAGCCAAGCATCAGAGCTTTCACTGATGTGAGAGACACCAGGGTCCTGGGGTCTTGCTGCTGTCTTCTGTCTGAGGCACCGAGGGAGTGTTGTCTCAAGGCTGGGTCCTGTGTTCCCTGTGGGCACCATGGGAGGGAGGAGACTCGGCAGTGTGAGTGGATCTGGGCCCGACTGCCAGCGACGCCCTAGGGATCCAGGGTCACTCCGAGGCGAAGCTCCATCCAGAGTCCCCGTGGGCAGCCGCCGTTCCTGATGCTGTCGTGTGGCGCCTGCAGGGTCTGTCTGGTGCCAGGGAAGACAGAGAGATCCTTTCTGTTGCCCTGGACTTGGGCTGTGTCTCTTAGCTCACAGCTTCTTTTTGTTTTTTGAGACAGTCTCGCTGTATGGTTCAGGCTGGCCTTGGACTCACAGCCATCCTCCTGCCTCAGCCTCCCTAGTGCTGGGATTACACACATGCTCCACCGTGCCCGGCGGCTCACAGCTTTCTGCAGCTGTTGAGCCACCCTTGTACCTGGGGACCCCGGGGTGTGCACGGTGGGCCACAGCCATGGGGTGCGTCCCCACTAGGCTGTCACCTAGGGTAGTGACTCAGGTCGTTAAGGCAGACAGCACCCCGCCAGTGCAGAGGAAAGGCACACAGAGAGAAGGTTTATTACTCACGGGTCCTGGGGCCTATGGAAGAGAGAGGGACCCCGGGCCCACAGCGTTAGCCAGACGGCTTCCTGGGGGAGCTGGGGCCTCGGTCAAGTGCTGAGTCCACGCATTGATGAGAGGTGGCCACCGCAGCACACACGGTGTGAGGTCAGCGGGACCGGCCAGGCAGACTGCATCTGGCTGTCCCACGGGGCGGGGGTCACAGGAGGCAGCTGTGGTATGTGGGGTGCATCACACTGAAGAGCTGGGGTGGGTGTGTGGACCCCAAAAGCACGTCCAGGGGGCTGAGCCCAGCTCTGGTCTGGAAAGCCCAAAAGATTTAAAAGAGACACGCAGGCGGTGTTAAATCATAGGAGCACCGTGCACTGTCCACCAGATTTCTGTCCCACGATGTGGCGCTCGACAGCGGCACATGGTAGGTTCTGGTCTGTCTCCAGCATGCCCGTCGGGGGGGCTGTTCACACCTCAAGTCCATAGCTCAGGGTGTGGCTCTCTGTTGTCCCTGTGGTCTAAGCCCTGTGTGCTCCAGCAGCCTTGTGCAGGCCTAGAAGTCTCCAGAAGCATCCAGAAGCTTCCATATCTTAGTTGTGTGTTCCAAAGCCCAGTGAGAACAGCTTGACAGGGATTGGTAGGGATCGGTGGGAACTGGGGAATGTCTGGCGCAGGAAGAATTACAGGATGCATTCTTGGCCCTGAGCCTTCCCCTTTGGACTCTTCCTGGACCTCCAGCTGTTGAGGAGTGTTTGCTAAATGTGCAGACAGGGAGTTCCCTCCAGGGCCAATGTGAGGCCATGGAATTCCACTCATGCTGACCACGGTTTTCTTCCTCTTTTTTCTCCACAGTGAGTGACCTGCAGGAAGAGGGCAGAAGTGCCATCAACTCGCCGATGTCCGCTGCCTCTGTGGACGTCCACCCCGAAGACACTCAGCTTGGTATGGGGGGCACCTTGACTTCCTGTCATGAGACTGTGCACGTCCGGTGTTCAGCCGGTCTCGCTGGGGCTGATGGGATCTGGGCGTCCTGCCTTTGATTGGACGCCAGATGGGGGTGTTTGAGAGTCTGGTCCTAGTCATGTTCATGTTCATAAAAGCCCCGAGGGCCGAGTGGCCAGGGGCCCCTTGCTCTCTGCCTGCCGCTAGCAGGTTTGGCCCAGGCGCATTTTGGGGGTCCAGCTGATGTAGAAGGCAGTGTGGAGCGTTTTGTTTATTCCCAGCCCTGGCTCAGAGGGAAGTGCTGTCCATCCTTCCGCGTTCCGTGAGAAGGCCAAGCCAGCGGGAGCTCACAGAAGGGAACAGGTGCAGGTCCCCCCCGCGGATCAGCCCTGGGGCCCCCTCCATCTGCCGGGACCCATGGGTCCTGGTTCCTCCTGCAAGATCGGCCTCTGCACATGGGTGCTCCCCACCCCTCCCTGCCTGGGCACTCGGGACCTGGACGTGGACCTGGCAGTGTCTTGTGTGGGCACCGGGCTCCTCCTCCCTGTGCTGTGGGCCTCTGGGGCCGTCCTGGGCACGGGGGGGGGGTGGTGTCTTTGCAGCTGCTGTGGCTTCTGTCCACCAACGCCATCAGCACCCTCACCCGGCGGGACAAACAAAAACATCCTCAGACATTGCCACTGTCCCTGGAGAGGGACAATGTCACTTCCAGTCTAGACCAGCAGGAGCCCAGAAAGTAGATCTCACCTGGGCATGGTGACAGGCCGGGGCTTCAGGGCCCGACCCGCCTGTGTGAGTGACTTTGCCCGTCGCCGCTCTTGGGCCTGGGCACGGCCAGGCTCCCCTGGATCGTGACGCTCGTGCGATCTGGGCAGGGCTGGCCTGGTCAGCGCCTGCTGTGCTCCACACGGGGCCATCCAGGCTCCAGGGAGGCGTGGCGCCCGCTGGCCCTGGATCCATCCCGGGCCACGGAGGAAACTAAGAGGAAGCACACAGCCATGGGCTGGGGACAGACACGCTTGGCTGCAAAGTGTCACCTTTGTTTTTGTTCTGGTGACTTTTTCTAATATTCCTTTGCGCCCACTATTTTGCCTATGATGTTCCATTCCGATCTTTTCCTGCCTAATGGAGCAAACATTTTGCTGCAAAATGTGGAGCACAACCAAACGGTGCTGTGGCCATCCCGGCTTCTCCCTGCGTGTGTTCACAGCGCCTGCAGGCGCCCGAGGCGTTGGTCTCAGATCTGGGCGGGGACGCTGCTCCGGTCTCTGTCGGTGCCGCCCCCCTGGCCACTTCCCCCACAGTGGAGGGCTTTGGCTTCTGGTGGGGGTGCGGCCTGGCCCGGTGGATGATAGTTCGGCTTCACCCCAGAAGCAGAGGTCCTGCCCCCGTGCTGTGGGTCTGAGTTCCATACGTGCCGGCCACGTCCTCTGTCCTCCCCAAGGACATGGCGAGGTCTCTGCTTCCTGCCGTTTCCCACCGCGGGCATCCGTGCCGCCCCAGCTAACTGTGACCCCTTCCCCCTGGCAGAGGAGAATGAGGAGCGCACGATGATCGACCCTACCTCCAGGGAGGACCCCAAATTCAAGGAGCTGGTCAAGGTAAGGAGGTCTGGCTGCGTGCAGTGCAGCGTCCCTGTTGGGATGAGGCCTCCGCTCTGGGCAGCTGGGCTGTCGTGGGCAGAGGGAGCTGAGGCCCCGGGCTCCCGGAAGGGACACTAGTGCTGCATCAGAAAGTGGCCGTGCGGCATGGCCTGCGTGGGGGCGCACAGACCACGGAGGAGTGGTCCCCACATCGAGCACTGCCACACACTGGGCGGCCACGCCTGGGCCTCGCTCCCTTGGAGAGGGCTGGCCAGGGTCGAGGCGGGTGTCAGGGTGCCAGCGCCGTGCTGTTGGGCTTTTGCACCCCTTGGCCATAGGCTGCGAGTTGAGTGTCTCTGCGGAGCTGTGTCCCTGTCCCGTTTGCGGAGGAGCTGAGCTTAGGGCCTGTGCTGGCTAGTGGTCAGTGTCTGCCGCTCCAGAAGCATCAACACCAGCTGGCTGCTTTGTCCCCCAAAGTCTTGGGCACGAGGAGGGTGGGGTTGCAGCCTCACCGCTTCTAGGCAGCAGGGGGGCGGCTCTTTCCTAGCACCTCGGCCATGCCGCTTTCCCTGCAGTGTCTGTGTCTTCATTGCTCTGGCCCAGGCTGTGATCCCGAGGCCACTGCGGGGGAAGGGCTGGGGCTCCAGGGTGACAGCCCCAGGGCAGCTGAGCAAAGGCCTCGCTGCGCAGCCCCTTCCTGCTCAGGTGACAGGGGCTTTGGAAATGCCGTGCGCTGCGGTTTATGCCAGAAAGAGACACTCTCCTAGTAAAGCTCCTGCCTTTGCCTCCGCTGCTCTGAGGCCTTGCGCTGTGCTTAGAGGAACGCGTGTCCGGGGCGGGTTCTGGGCACAAGGCCGTGCCAAGTTGCCTCCTTTCAGAAACTTGGGCAGAAGATGTGGGTTTCGGCGTCCACCCAAAGATGGAGATTCTGTTTTCTTTACAGTTTTGTCTCCCAGCGTTGGGACTCCAGCTCAGGACTTCACATGTTCCATTAACTCCCCACCACTGCTGTGTACCCCAGCCCTGAGATGCTGATTCTTAACACTTTAAATCACCTAGTTTATTTTATGAAGGAGTTTTCCTTCTGGATCCCCATTCTGTTATTTAGAAGAATGACCTTAAGAAAAGGAACTCTTTGCCACCTAAGTGTCCTTGGGTGGTGGTGCACACCTATAATCCCAGCACTCTGGGAGGCCGAGGCAGGAGGATTGCAAGTTTGGGTCCAACCTGGGCTTTGCCCTATGTGCTATTCAGGCTGTAACAGAGCAGGTGCTGCCCACATGAGTTCCACCCACCTTCGGGGGGCACCTGCTTTGCATACGCCCCCATTCAAAGGCTGCCCTCCATGGGAACACCCTTGCAGGCCCCCGGAGATGATGTCTCACCAGCTCCCTGGGCTCCCCGCCAGGGTCACACATGGACTGAACTGTCTTTCAGGCCTTGGTGGGTTGGGGCCAACGGCCCTTGGGTGGGGACCACACCCAAGTCAGGCCCAGCAGACGCCGCCCCCAGTAGTCCCAGGCAGAGATCCAGGCAGAAGCAGGAGCTGCGAGAGCGGCCAGCATGTAGACCTCGGGCCAGGGGCGATGGGTCTCAGCAGCCGTGGCTGCTGTCCCTGCAGGCGTCCTATCTTGGAGCCAAGGGAGCTTTTCAGTTCTGAGGGACGCACGCTCGCTGTCCTCCCTGTCTCCTGTCCTGTCCACGCCCCTTCAGGACGCCTCTATTTAGAGCCGAGTGCCGGCTCGAGCTCTTCCTGAGATTGGCGTGGCCGTTCACCACGCACTTTGAGGCTGTGTTGTGTAAGAGTGGCGTCGGGGATGAGGCGGGTCTGGGGCCGCCTCCTGGACTCCGGCCAAGCGTGAGCAGGGCAGGCCTGGCCCCCCGGCTTGACCCGGGCACCCCCGTTCTGTGGGCTCAGAGCCCGAAAGGCATCTTCTGGGCAGTGTTTCTTCCTGCAGTCCTTTTCTCCACTGTCTTCCGGATACGCTCCTTATGCGCGGAGGGTGAGCGCTGCCCGGCCGTGGGCGGGTTATAGATGAGACACTGGGTCTTTTGTTGGTCTTTATAACGACCCTCGAAAGATTCCTGTGCTCAGCTAGAGAAAGGCCTTCGTGCTGTATCATAAAAAATCTGAGTTTGGTCTTTGCTGTCAAACTTGGTACGGGGGTCCTAAGACCTTCGGAATTGCCTGAATAGCGCGGGTGTCTTTCGTTATTCACAAGGAGCCCCTTGGGGACACGTGGCTTACTGCTAGTGAGGTGACACTGGCGCCTGGACAGCACGAGGCACCCCGTGGGCCACCCACCCCACCCCGGGCCTCTCTCTCCATTCCGAAATTTGCAACCATTGCTGGGTTAGTAGATGCCCAGGGCCACACTCTGATTAGTACCCTGGGATCAACTGGAATTGGGATTGCTGGGTCACACAGGCTTAGGTTTTTTTGTTTTGCTTTGTTTTTTATCGTGAAGACTCTGGTCCAGAGAGGCAACTCCTCAGGACTCATTTTCCTTTGTAATTAGCCGGTAACCCTAACTAGAGCTGATTCCTGAGCTCCATGATTTGTTCTGCGCCCTTACGTGGGAAGCCCTGCGGTGTGGTCTGTGGGCAGAACAGTGGGACTCCTGGGGACCCTGTTTGCTGCTGGTTCCTGAACTCGGGACCAGTTTTAGGGGCCTAGTCCTTCACCTGTGGCCTGTGCCTCCAGGTGGACGTCACAGTCGTGGACCGGGAGGACGCCTGCGAGGCCGAGAACTGGAGCAGTGTGCCTGGGAGTCGGGAAGCAGCCCCGGGACGCTTCCTAAGCGCCACTGCCCGAAGCAGCCCAGCACATCTCCCGGGGCGCACGGTTCTCCCCAAAGCGAATTGCACATCCCATTTCTCAGTTCACTGGTCAGGACTCTTCCTGCTCTTTGAATTCATTTTTCGTTGTTGTTGTTTTTTCTTTGCACTGGGAAACAAATCAGCAGTGTGGCAGCCCTTGTCCGGCCGCAGCCAGTGCCACGGGGGCTGAGCGGAGATGCCCTGCCAGACCCCGGCCCCCCAGCCCTCGCCTGGCCTGCTGGACAAGCCTGTGTCCTCTGAGGGTTCCATGGCCAGGACTCTGGAAGTGATTAAAACATAACTGTCATAGCTCTGGGGGAGACAGACTGCAGATCCTGATTATAATTCCAAGGAACTAAAGGAAGAGTAATTTTTTATTCTGGGTAAAGCAGGCTCATAAAACGTACGTGATCGGGTGCTGGGCACGGCCGTAATTAATCTGTGTCCTAGACGCTCGCCCGCAGGGCTCGGGGTTCGCGAGTGAGCACATCCCTAAAATAACGACGGGAGCTATCTTTACAGAGCCTCGTGGAGCGGCAGATGAGGGCGGGCGGCTCGGGAGGTGGAGGACGGGGGATCTGCGGTGCCCAGGGATCTGCCGCTCCTTCCCAGGGGCGCAGGGAGACTGGGCCGCATTCACTTCGTGTCACGTGGAGTTTCACGTGCGCGTCTCTCTGCTTGTTGTTTTTGTGTCCGCGTGCGGACCAGGCCGGAGATCCAGCTGTGCTCTTTCTGAGGTGGACGCGTCAGTTTCTCTGGAGCAGAAACATCCCCTGTCCTGCATTTTCTCAGAGCCGGAGCCCTGGGCAAGGAGACCTGGAGCAGCAGGCGTCTGTCTGCCGGAGGCCTCTCAGTTACGCCATTTGTCTGTGCCCCTGTGGGGTTTGGTTCCTGTCTTAGCTGCGGGGGACGTGGCTTTGAGAAAAACAAAGGCCCCCCTCACGCGGTGCTGATAGTCCGGCTGGGAAGAGGGCATGACAAGGGATAGGTGAACGTGTGCCCAGGTGGCCTTGAGTACTTTGAAGAAAACTGAACAGGAAACAGCAGCCCTTTCCTGTTTTAGGTGGAGTGGGCAGGGCCATGAAGTTTGAGCAGAGGCCTTTGTGTCATACCTGAGAGAAGAATATGGCCAATAGACCAAGAGCAGGTGCAAAGGTCCTGAGGTACGTGTGTGTGTGGCGTGTTTTAAGGACCAGCAAGAAGGGCAGTGTGGCTGGAGCCCAGGGAGCTAGGAGGAGAGTGGTCAGGGACATGGTCGTAAAGGTGGCAGGGGTGCACAGTGGTCAGTGTCCTTCTGTTCCCTCTCAGTTTGCCTCCCAGGGTGGAGGGATCAGCTCTTTCTAAGAGACATGAGGCCATGACAGCACAACAGCAAAACCAGCACAGATCCCGTCATGGTGTCACGGGTAGCGGATGCATTCTTCTGTAGCAGCCTCAGCGCATGATTCTTTTTCCCTCTTTACGTTGAGAACTTTCAGCTTTTTATACCTAAAGGAAGCACTTTCAGTGATTTGCAGTGCTAACCTTAAGAACCAAGCTGTGAAGCTCTTGAGAAACCGTGGAGGTGACTCTTGGTGACTTTGGGTTTGGGGCATGAGTCTCAGGTAGGACGCCGAGCACACAGGCAGCAGGATGAAAAAGCAGGTAACATGGACTTAGTCAGAATCTAAACCCTTTTGCTTTGGCCTGAGCTTCTCGTCACAGAGCCACAGTACCAGACACCCGCAGTTTAGAGGAGGAAAGAGGCAACTTGGCTGACGGTTTCAGGGGTCCAGTCCATGGTTGGGTGGCGGCTCCAAGGCAGAGACATCGTGGCGGGAGGGCCTGGCGGAGCAAGGCTGCTCAGGTCATGGGGGCCCAGGAAGCACAGCAGGAAAGCAGTGTCAGAGAGGGACCTGTTGGGGAACCATAGACAGCACCCACCATGCCTCACCCAGACATACCTAGGAGCCTGCTTCCCTAGTCCACGCATTTCTCAATCCAGCCCAGGTGATGAATCAGGATTAATGGTCCAGCTTCCAAAAACGCTATCAGAGTGGGAGACAGTTGTGCCAGTCGCAGGTCTAAGTGGAGATTCAGACCCTGGTGTTCAGCACCGTTAGTGAGGTGCGGGTCCAGCTCTGTCCTTTCTGTGTCCACATCCCGTTGTCCCAGCTTTGTTCATCGACAGGATATTTGGTCCTCGTGGGGTTGTCTTGGCCCCTTATTGACACGGACTGGCTGTAGCGTGAGGTTTATTTCTGGACTCGCAGTTTTCTCTGCCGGCCTGTACCTCTGTCTTGATGTCTGTCGCACACACTTTGGGCGACGATAGCTTTGTAGTGGGGCTGAAATCAGGACGCGAAGCCCTCCAGCCTTCTCTTCTCTTTCAAGGTTGTCTCGGCTCTCTGGGCCTCTTGGGTTTCTATCTGCATGTTAGGGCCCATTTGTCGGTTTCGATGCTGAAGCCAGCAGGGCGGTGACTGACTTGTAAGAGCGATGCTTAGTATCGTCTTTTCCGACTACTGAGGTACTATCTGCTGCTGAGAACCTCAGATGCTGGGACAGGCGGCGGGAGACAGCAGGGGTCATTTGCGTTATGCCCCTTTGTTCATCTTCTCGGTGCATTTCATTTTTTCTGTTCTGAAATTTGCAACCATTGCTGCGTTAGTAGATGCCCAGGGCTGCACTCTGATTAGTACCCTGGGATAACTAGAATTGGGATTGCTGGGTCACACAGGCTTAGGTTTTTTTGTTTTGCTTTGTTTTTTATCGTGAAGACTCTGGTCCAGTGAGGGCAACTGGGTGGCTCCCCTGAAACCTGTGACGGGTCTGGGTCTCAGAGGCAACCCTTGCCATCTGCACCATGCTGTGGCTTTTCGGTCATGGCAATGTTATTTGTGTGGGAGCTGGTGCTCAGTGACGGTCAAGGACTGTGTTACTTTCTATTCAGGGTAACAAATCACCAGTTCAGCAATTACTACTATGTTTTTTTTTTTGTCTTTTTAAGACAGGGTCTCGCTGTGCAGTTCAGGCTGGCCTTCAACTCACTTTTGTAGCCCCGGCGGGCCTCGAACTCGCAGCAATCCTCCTGCCTCAGCCTCCCAAGTGCTAGGATTACAGGTGTGCACCACCACGCCTGGCAATTATTACTATTATTATTATTATTTATATATTTTTGTGGGGCTGGGATCGAACCCAGGGCCCCATGCGTGCTAAGCATGCACTCCACCAACAAGCTACACCCTAGTCACGGTGAGGCGCTTCAGACACACCAAGGGTTAGCTCACGGTTCTGCAGTTCAGAAGTTCTGTGTTGGGTCGCAGGGAGAAGTCCTGTGTGGGTGGCCAAGTTCCCTGCTCCGGCTCCCTGAGGCTGAGATCTGGGTGTTAGCCAGGCCGTTCCTTTCCATAGACCCCGGGGAGAGTCCACTCTCAGCTGCTGGAGGCAACCATACCCTTCCTGTGGGGCTGGTCTTCACACCAGCAGTGTGGAATCTCCACACACCCCATCCCTCACACAGCACCCTGAGTGCCCAGCTCTGCCCTCCGGACCCACATGGAAGGGCTCATGGGATGAGGTTGGCCTTCCCCAGTTCTGTCCTCCTTTTTTTTTTTTTTGAGACAGGGCCTCACTGTGTAGTCCAGGCTGGCCTCAAGCTCACAGCGACCTTTCCGCCTCGGCCTCCCAAGTGCTGAGATGACAGCATGTGCCACCATGCCCGACCCTGTTGCTCTCTCCTGAGGTCACCTGTGTCCCGGGGCTCGTTGTCCTCACAGTTCCAAGGCTTAGATGGCTATGTACCCCAGCAGGCTAGGCCTTTTAGGGGACTCTTTGAAATTCTGCCTCTAAAACTGGTTTAAACCTATTAGCCAAAAATTACAAAAGACAGCCAGAACATTAGTAGCGGTCATTAGCCTGGTATTTGTGGTGTCTTGGGCTCACGGCTTCTCTGGGTGCTGGCAGGGAGGCAGAGGCAGGCTGCTGCAGGCCTCAGCTGCTGTGGACGGGTGGTGACCAGGAAAGAGGGTGGCTGGGGGGGGGGGGACGGCCGGGATGGGCCTGGCCAGAGTGAGTAGGCCCCGGGTGCGAGGGCTCTGAGGACCGGGACAGGGCTGGGGGTCGCCAAGCCGTGTATGGGCGATCAAAAATCGGGTGAATGTTAAAATGAACACAAACTTACTGCAGTAGAAGGCTCATTGATGAGAACAGTGCGGTCAGTGTTCTCAAAGTGAAGGGGCGCGTTTGGGGCACTTTAAGGGGGATTAGTGACACTGTGTGTTTTATTGTAATAAATTTTCAAACTTAAACGTTCACTGCCTGTTTTGAGCATCTCCACACCTGTTCGCTTATTCTTAGCTCTCAAGTTTAAAGTGCACACTTTTCAAACAACTGAACAGAAGAGCACATCAGCAAAGTCTCGCTGAGTGGCCAGAGCGGGTCCCTGAGGGGGTCTCGGTTCTGTGGCTGAGCGTGTGCGTTTTGGGGGGCCCGGGCTCTGGGTCAACCTGAGGGAGCCACCTGGGTGACGTCCTAGGTCGGGGTCGGGGGATGAGGCGTCCGCCTCCCTGGCACGGGGAAGGGTGGGGTGTGGTTTAGGGTGGGGTGTGGATTGTGCGGCCGGGCTGCGTGGCTCTGGGGTGGCCCTCGGACTGTGGCCCAGGTGGAGGCAGCGGTGCCAGCTGTGGCCTTGGTGGTGCCTGGCCTCTGCAGGCCTTGGCAGGGCAGGGCTCAGGGAGGTCACGGTTTGGCCAAGAGGAAGAGGGTGAGGGGTGGGCCCAGTCTAGGAGAAGACGGAAGTGGGTGAGAGGGGATGGTCCAGGCCCCTGGGCCCGTGGGTTCATGTTCTGTGCCCGTCCTGGGACAGGAGCCCGCTTGGGGGTTGTGAGCTTGGCCAGAGGCCCCTGTGGGCCCTTGCACAGAAGGATGGTACGGTGCCCTGCGCCGGTGTCTGTGTTGGAGGCGTCACTGGAGGTCTCAGCATCATGAACTGGACCTGGACAAGAAGCAGCCAGGAGGGGAGGGACAGAGGGTCCCCCGTGGGGAGCACAGGGGGCCCAGAAAGGAGACAGGACCCGCACCTGCAGTGGACACCTGGGACAGTGCACCTCCCTACCAGGGAGGTGGGGAAGCTGCAGGGCCACTCTGTCCTCCTGTGCTTTCGGAGCCGCTCACCAATGCAGTGTGCAGGGCCACACCCCGCCTTCTCCCCCAGAGCTTCCCGGATCCGATTTTACTTCTGATCTTCCAGAGACCGTGTGTCTGATTTAATATTTCTGAGTTAGTAGGAAAATAGAATGTACCTCACGGAAATCCGCTTTGTGGCCAGTTCCGCGGGTCGCAGCAGTTTCCCAGAGTGACAGAGAGTAGTGTATTCAGGAACGTGCCCTTTGCTTTGTCCCTGAGAGGGGCCATAAACTGCTGTTTCCAGAGTTAGATGGGTTTATTTGCTTTGCATGCTCGGGAAAGTTGGGTGGGAACGTCTGGAAGTCAGCCAGTAGCACCTCGAGGGGTCCCCTTCACACCCCAGCTGGGGCTCAGGGGCACTTGGCCCTGTCTTTGCTGGGCGCTCCCCCTTTGCCTGCGTTCCCATTGGGCAGCATGTGTCCCAGGCCAGGGAACTCCGGGGAGTGCTGGGAAGCCCTGGTCACCTGCAGGCTGCCCGTGTAGAGCCCCACTCCTGCTGGGCCGTGCGCTTGGAGGAGCCCGTCCCACCCACAGCTCTCTGGCCCGTGTCCCAGCCAAGACCTCGTTGGGCAGCGGCGCCCCTGCTGTCCTCTGTGTGTGGCTGGCAGAGTCGGGCTGTGACACACGCCCGCCTCCCCGCAGGTGCTCCTGGACTGGATCAATGATGTCCTGGTGGAGGAGCGGATCATCGTGAAGCAGCTGGAGGAGGACCTGTACGATGGGCAGGTGCTGCAGAAGCTCCTGGGTGAGTGGGTAGGGCCCCGCTGGATGGCGCCTCCTCTGCATGGTCACCTGTCCTCTCATAGGTTATCCAGTGGGTGCTCCAGGGACCAGGGCAGTATGAGCGTCTCTCCCATTGTGCCAACAGGAGCAGAGAGACAAGGGTGAACAGGGAGAGTGTTCCCCTGGGCCGCCTTGCCCCTTGGACTCAAAACCTGCAATCCTCCTGCCTCAGCATCCCCTGATCAGCTGGCTTACCGATGTGCACCACTGTGCCCAGCTGATCTCTTCTTCCAGTGTCTAATGAATGTAACAGAGCACTGGGTACTAGGGACACAGTGACTTGTGGAATAGACATGGTCCCAGACACGCTGGAGCTCACAGCCAAGTGGAGCTCGTGACCAAGGGGAGGTGCCTGGCTCACTCGTTTGTTGGCTGCTGGGTGCAGGTCTGGAGTCAGATCCCCCGCCTTGTTATCACAGTGGGCTCTGAGAACAGCTCCCGGGGTGGGCTAACTGATCGGATGTCCCTGGTTACCCCCCACATGCCTGTTGTTTTGGTCTAGGACTCAACTGTATGTGCCATGGCCACCCATGTTGTTTCTGTTCCTTTCATCTCTCGTTCAGCAACCCCCCACTTCCTGTTTCCCTCTCCCATTCTTTCTGTCTTTCACAACAATTACAAAGGCCCAGGCCTCTTGTCCCATAGAAGGCCAAGCTGCCCGAGTACGCCTGGGGTTTATCTCATGAGCACACCCAGCCTGCCATGGGTGGGCAGAAGGCCCAGGGCCTCCCGTCTGCCAGAGGCACTGGGGTTTTTGTCCCTGGGAAAGCTCTGCCAGCCCAGCTTTCAACCAGAAAGGTGCTTTCTGCCTTTTTCATGTGTCAGTTGCGCCTGGAGGGTGGGGCTGTGGGACCAGGTGGCCATCCTGGCACCTGCAGGTCAGCGTCCAGTCACCTGTGGCCAGGACTGGATCCCATCGGCGCTCACTTCTTAGATCCCTGAGAAGCTGGAGCCTGCAGGTGACCGAGGTCTCTATTTGTCGAGCTTTCCTGTCCGTTCGCTGCTGTTTCCTTCTGCAAACAAGTGCCTCCCCTCTCCCGCTCCTTGTTTTCTTCCCTTTCTTCTGGACGCACTCATGGACTAATGGAGTCTTCAGTGTAAAGAGGGGTGCAGCGTGCAGCCGTCAGGATCAGGGTGCCGCGGGGACAAGTTGCTTCTCGGGTGTCATCATGTCCCTCTCTTTCTGGCAAGACAGCTGGGAAGCACGTGTGTTTTTAGATCATGAATCCACACCGACACCTCTAATTCTGGTTCAGCACCCCGGGTCTCCCCGTTCTCTGTCCCCATTTGCATTGAGAACATGGCCCCCAAACTGCCTGTACTGTGCTCTCTTCCTGGGCGGCTTCCGAGTCTCTGTCCCTTCCACGTGACACGTGCCAAGTGTGACCCTCGGTCTTAGAGACCGAGAAGGCTGAGAAGGGACCGAGAGTGCTAAGTGAAGCAGAAGGCCTCCTTGCCACCGTTTCCGTCTGCCCAGTTTGTGCACCCCGAGGACAGTTCGTGTTTGGAAGTTTCCCTTATTCATTCTCTGCTTTTTGAGTGGTCATGTGATCAACTGGATCCACGGTTAGGTAATTTTTTTTTCTTTTTGAGATAAGGTCTCGCTATGCAGTTCAGGCTGGCCTTGAGCTCACTTTGTAGCCCAGGCTGGTCTCGAACTTGCAACGATCCTCCTGCCTCAGCCTCCCGAGTGCTGGGATTACAGGCATGCACCACCACGCCCGACACAGTTAGGTAAATTTATTTCTGTCTGTATTCAGTTTCTTGGCATACACTTACAATTTTTAAAAAAATTTATTGAATATTCTTAACTTTAGGAAATAAAGTATTTACACAGCTCAGAAACCAAGACTATGAAGTGGTATCCCTTGAAAGTCTCAATTGTAATTCCCTCTTCCTGTGGACCTCAGGTGGCCGTTTGCAATGGATTCTGATGAATGTTTCTTTGGTTTCTCTCTCTCTGTCTCCCTGTCTCTCTGTCTCTCTGTCTCTGTCTCTCTCTCTCTCTCTCACACACACACACACACACACACACTAACCTTTCTTTCTTACATGAAAACAGCATATACTATGCAGTCTTGCACGTTTCACTTAATTTAAGTACAGACATTCTACATTTAACAACCGAGTTTCCATTCCTGTGACTAGGTCATTAAATGACTTGATCACTAAATGAGGAATCCTGTATGGTATGTACATCAGAATGTTCAGAAGTGGTCGAAGGAAGCACCAACTTCATGACCTTGCTTCTATTTGCAGAACTCTTAGTACTGTACTTTGCAGTACTGTAACGTGTAAGAGAACGTAAAGCTGTACCGTACAGTACAATCAGCAAAAATTACAGTACTGAACGGTAAAGTACAACCTGTCTCTAGTTTTACCAGTTCCGCACCCCCTGAGCCATTTTCTGCCTTCTTGGAATATTTACATCAATGTACAAAACTGTCATATTTTCATCTTTTAAAAAAGAGTCCCTGCCCTGGAGACACTGGTTTCTCTGTGTTGTGCAGGTGTGCTGACAGTTAGATTTGACACCTAGGGAGTCACTGGTGTTGAGGGGTGGGGGCAACACCCTGAGTGGAAAGGATGCAGGGACAGGGAGTTTTGCCCTTGCGGGGCGTAATTCAGGAAGGGGGGAAGCAGAGCAGAGGCCGCGGCTGCGGAGCGGGTGGAACCGGGGAAGGAGTCCTGCAGCTCTGGGGCGTGTGTGGACTGGGGGCTCCTTCTGGAGGAGCTGACAAGGGAAGGGAGACCTTTTGTGTGGTCCGCGGAACCTCGGCCCTGTGCGGAGACCCTGGAAGGGATCAGCGATGTGCTTACAGGCTTTCGGTCCTCACGAAGCTCTGATGTGGCTGTGGGGCCCCAAATGCGCCTCAAGAGCACCCCCTGACCTGTGTGGATGACAGACCTCTGAAGGTCAGCAGGAGGCGCCCAGCGTTGGGGGGCTCGGCAGATTCTTGGTCTTGGGCTCCATTCCACTCCCGGGCCTTTGATGGACCCCGCAGCGAGCCCCAGCCTCCCCAGCAGATCACCCCAGATGGCCGCTTCTTGGCGCTGGGGATGCCATGGAGGGGGTTTGCAGTCCTGCAGGGGGACACGATTCAGAAGAGAAAGCTACCGGGCATGTGCAGCCTCGAGGGGCCCCCTGGGGTAGGACAGGAGCCCCCTGTGGGGAGGGAGGCCCTGGGGACTGTGTTGGGGTGTACGCGGCTCCTGTGGACCGCTTAATCTTGGAGGAAGACTTCTGAGTCTGGGGACGGGGAACTGGGTCACGCAGCTGCCTCAAGGACAGAGTGGTGGCCAGGCCACAAGAGGGTGTTTGGGAGGAGGGTGTTTGTGTGTGCTTTTGTCACCCGTCTACTCATCCATTCCTTCATCTGCCGAGCGCATGTTCACCAGCTTCCTCTGTGCCGCTGAGTCACAGGGAACCGAGAGGGTCCCCGCCCTCGGCGCACATTCCAGCAGCGGGAAGACCCAAGAGTGCCCAAAGGAGCGGGCACAGGGTTAGGGCGAGGGGTAGAGAGCCGCAGGGTGGCATGTGGGCTGGATGGTCGGGCAGGCCTCGGGGGAGCCAGCATCCGAGTGGACATCTGCACAGAGCGTGGCAGGGATGCTCGCTTGGGCTCTGCGGCGAGGAGAGCAGGGCGGGGAGGTTGGGTGGGCGAGGGAGGAGAACCGCAGACAGGGCTGGGACGACCGACAGGGCCAGCTGACGGCCAGCCCCAGAAAACAAAGCTTTCTCTCCCAAGTGACAGGAGTTGCGGGGGTTTTGAGCAGGGCTGTGACATGATCAGAGTTGGCATTTTAAAAGGTCCCTTGGGCTTCTGAGTATGCCCCATGGCAGCCCAGGTGCCGGGGAAGTGGCATGTACCAGGGTGGGAGCGGCCCCTGAAGAAGATGTTCCAAATTCCTCATTTGCCTGAGCAGCAGATGACCGGGAAGTCACATGCGAATGTGGCCAAGGAGAGAATCCGCATCCCAGAACCAGCTTCCATGGCTCAAGAATGAATCTGAAATACCAGTCAAGATTGTTTCGTAGTTATAAAGAACTTTAGCAGCCAGCGTTTTCATGTCCTGCCCTGTAATGTCAGCATGGTTGTTCTCAGTTCTGTCAGGCCTTGTTGCCCTTGGGGTCTTCAGACTGGACCTGTGAGGTGACAGACACCTGTCACGGCGACGGCCAGCAAAGCACATTGCTCTTGCCTGGCACAGACCGCTGTGGAGATCTGGCTGGTGGCGGCGGCGCTTTTTTGAAGCCATCCCTTCAGCCCAAACTGATACTTGCTAATACCTTTCAGAAGCAAACATGAGTGCTGTGCTTGCCTACATTTTTTATTTCTGATTCTTTCACGGGCGTCTGTGGCCGTGGCACTGTGTAACTAGATCTCAGGCCCCAGGACAGCTCCGAATTGGCCTTGGCTCCAGCTGTGGGTGGCTGTGAAGGACGCCAGCACTGCCTGGACCATCGCATAGAGCAGAGGTGCTTGCTGCCGTCTCACAGCCCATCCTTTTGGTTCCCTCTTCAGCTGGCCCCGGCCAAGGTGACCCTTACTCTCAAGCGGCCGTGGTTGTGCGTGGGTCCTGCTGCGTGGCTTTGTATCTGTAAAGAGCAGTGTGAGGCTCACTGGGGCAGAGGCAGCCTTTTCACGGCGGAGTGGATGCTGTTCCACCTCGTTTGAATGCCTTGAATAAGCACTTGAGAAGGCGATTTGAACATCTTTTGTGTGTGGAGTGGTTTGATGCAGCACTTGGACTGGGAAAAGGGACAGTGGACAAGAACACTCAGATATTAATAGAGGATCAGAATGTCTTGCCTGGTCTTGTGAATGATGTATGATGTAATTCCAGGAATGACCTTGATGGAGGCGTTCGAAAGCTCGATTCTTTTTTTGCAAAGGCAGAGGCCAAAATCAAATAAAAGACTCTGGCTGAACATCAAGGCCAAAGCTGGCTCTCTGTGTCTGTGGGAGAGCAGGGGTTTGCGGGCTGGGCCTTGGGCTGTGAGCCGGGACCCTCTGGAAGAGGCGGAGCCATCGGAGGAGTGGGCGGAGTCAGCCCTGAGGGAGGGGCCAGTGCTGCCCTGCCGAAGGGTAGAGGAGGACGGGGCGTGGCCTCTGGGTTTGGTTACCCTCTGCCAAGGATGTGTCACCAGAAGACCCCAGTGGGCCCCACTTCTTGGTGATCTTTTTTTTTTTTTTTTTGGTACTAGTGATCGAACTCATGACCTCATGAGGAGCATTGCCCAGACACTGCGGGCAGGGCTGTGACTCCCCACAGTCCCCTGTTGAAGTCTTCACACCCTCCTGCAGGTGTGGGTATGCCTGGAGAAGGGTTTTTGGAGAGGCAGTCAAGTTAAATGAGACCCTGTGGATGTCCTTTCCAACATGACTGGGGTCCTTATCATAGGACACACAGAGGGGGACCATGTAGGGACACAGGGAGAAGATGGTGTCCACTAGCTGAGGACAGAGCTTTGGGAGAAACCAGTCCTGGCTGCCCCTTGATCTTGGACTTCTAGTCTCCAGATCTGTGAGAGCAAATAGCTGATGTCCGAGCTGCCAGTCCGATTTGTTACACAGCCCACGCTGACTGCAGCTCCTTCCCTTCCTCTCCACCCCTGTGATGAGGCCTTCTTCCGTGGGCAGGGTCAGCTGGTGACGGGGGTCAGGTGAGCATGCCAGGCTCCTCTCCTAGGCTCCCTGTGACCCTCCCTCCCTCTCTCCACAAGGCCTCTGTCTGCCCTGTCCTTGGTTGCTGGACACCCGCGAGCCCTGCTTGCTCTGTATTTTCAGAGCAGCTGTGTAGGTCGCTGTGGACTGTCCAGCCCAGAACTGCTAGAGACAGGTGGGAGTCATTTCCACTCCCTGAAAGCCATGCTTGTCCGCTCACACTCCTCGGCCCACTCTGATCTTAGTCCGTTCACAGCCCCACCGTGGCCGTCACCTGCCCCCACCCTGTGCCCGGAGTGCGACCTCCTACCACGCCTGCCCAGAGCCCAGGAAGTGCCTGTCCATCAGTAACTGTTTCATGCACGAATGAATAAATGAATGAGTGAATGAATGGTGTGCGGAGCTGGCAGGTGTTGCCCTGCGGTGCCTTCACCCTGCAGGGGACACCAGAACTGCTTGTCCTTCTGCCTGGGGGAGCGGAGGGTGTAAGGAGAGAGTATTGGTGTCCCAGGGCCTCCGGAGAGGAGGCTTTCCACAGAGCTTTGTGCGGGTGTCACGTGCAGCGTGCAAGGCCCACAGTGACCGGCCTGGGCTTGAGGCGTTCTGTGGTCTCCTGTCAGGGTGGCGTGGCTGACAGCTGCTCTGTGTGGTCGGCTGGCAGCGGTCGGGCCCCAAGCAGAGGACGCGTAATCACCCTCCCTGGGAACTGTGTTGCGACGCTCTGTGCCTCGGCTTTTGCTGTGCAGTGGAGGAACGATCTGTCAGGAAGCACCCTTGTCTTGGAATTCAAAGTAAGGAGAGTCGCCCAGGGCTGGCCCTGCTGTACCGCAGTTAACGGGTTAGTGGGTGCGGCCCAGTGAGCTCCGAGTCACCTGCCTGCCCCCTGCAGCCCCGCTCACCCCCGAGGGAAATTGAAGGCATGCGGGGCTGCGCCTGGGCCTCTGTCTCAGTGATTGGATGTTGGACGTAGGTGACAGTTCTTGCCTGGACTCCTTCAGATTGCTTCCTGCTCGCTCTGGAAATCGCAGTCCCGAGTTCTGCAGATTTCTAATCAAATGTCTTCTCGTGGTGTCAAAATGTTAGAGAAATGGGAACAGGAGTCCTGGTGTGTAGGGAGGCGGAGGTGGCTTTTCGGGGCCTTTTTATTATCCTTATCAAATGCCTCTCCCTTCCGGGAACCCACGGGACTCCTTCTCCGCCTCCCGGGTCACCTCCTCGCCCCACCTGCACCGTGAAAGATTTTCCCGTCGTGTGTGCTCAGAATGTCCCCTCGCAGACATGCTGCTTCGTCCCTACTGCTTCACCTCCCGCTCCCGGAACTGTTTTTGCAGGAATAAGAGTGACCTCGAAGTCAGAGGTTCCCAGCTTGGCGACCTGCCTGCCCTGGGGACCCCACCCCCCAGCAGACGGCCAGGCAGCTCTGGGGGCTGCTGCTTCTTCTGACGCTCTTCCACTTGCTCTGTCCTTGCAGAAAAACTGGCAGACCGCAAGCTGGACGTGGCCGAGGTGACCCAGTCGGAGATAGGGCAGAGGCAGAAGCTGCAGACGGTTCTGGAAGCCGTGCACGACCTGCTACGGCCACACGGCTGGGCGCTGCGGTGGAACGTGGACTGTGAGTGCCCCAGGGTGGGGACCCGAGGGAACCCCTCCTCTTGTCACCGCGTCTGGCCTTGCATTTAAAAACCGCCTCCCCCTGCTGCTGTCAGAGAAGAGAATCCGGTCCCAGGACGCAGAGTGGCCAAGCTCACACCTAAGAACTGTCAGCATGCGGTTCTGTGTTCTCCCTGCTTCAAGTGGAGGAGTGGATTCTGACTGGGGAGGTCAGGGCGGCTGCAGAGGCAGAGAACTCAACTCCAGTCACCCACAGTGCTGATGCTAAGTGAGCTGTTTTGCTGGCAACCCCAAAGCAGGTCCCCAGGAGCCCGTGTTGGCCTGGGAATATGTCAGAGAGGGCTGCATTTAGGATAGTGTGACATCACAGTGTTCCTAGCACAGACATGGGCTGGCCAGGAGGCTGGACAGTGGTCCTTGGCCCTGTCCTCCTCTTCCTCCTCCTGGCAGGGCAGTGAGCTGTGGCCTCGGGCCCTGGCCCCCGTTTCGAAGCAGGTGGCCTTGGACAGCCGCCCCCCCCACAGTCACAGGCTGCGGGGAGCCAGTGCCTTGTAAACTGTGAAGCCCTGCACGGAGTGGCTGTGACACACCTTGGATGTGCACACGGGAGGCCGAGCAGGCAGTGCGCAGGGCAGCAGGCAGCTCAGGCCGGGTGGGAGTCAGTGTCAGGCATCCCCAGGACAGCACCTGCCCTTGGTGCCGACCCCCGTGGGGATGGCTGCTTGTGCAGAAGGGGAAGTTGTTCAGGGGCAAGGATAATAGTGGCGCGCATGACCGTGACAGGCGTACATGGCGGTGACCTGTGCCCCCCACACCTCCCTTTCACTGCTTTTAACAACAGCTTGGACACCAAGCTCTCCAAGCGGTGGCACAAGTCACCTTCAGCCAACACGAAAGGAAAAAAAAAACTCACAAACTAGAAATGAGTTCACGTGGAATGCTGTTTCACTCTTTGCTTTTTCATGCTCCTTGCGTCCGGGTCTCCTCGGTCTCCTGAGCCTGGGCCTCTTGGGTGTGGGCCCAGGTTCTGACAGAGGCCTCTTCTTCTGTCCCCGCCAGCCATCCACGGCAAGAACCTGGTGGCCATCATCCACCTGCTGGTCTCGCTGGCCATGCACTTCCAGGCCCCGATCCGCCTCCCCGAGCACGTGTCGGTGCAGGTGGTGGTCGTCCGGGTGAGTACCCGCCCAGCGCGGCCTGGCTCTGTCCTCCTGGAATTCTCCAGCTTTTTCTCTCTCCTTTTTTCCTCCCTAGAAGCTACTTTCCATGTTCCCCTCTTAACAAAACGCGTCCCTCACCCCTGCTCGGAGATAAATGATTGGAGCAGGAACAACGGCCCTGATTTGGAGAGAGGCAGAACCAGCGGCACGAGAGTGTTAAGGTTTAATTTTCCAGAATTTTGAAAAGAACATTCATTTCTCTCCGGAGCCAACGAGTCGGAATTCAATCCCCTTGAATGTGCTTATTACTCACTGGAGGAGGTTGAGACCGGCGGTATGAAATAGATACCCAAATTAAAGGCTCTTGCGTTTGCTGGGTATTAGAGCCATCATTCCCCATTATCTCTTTTTTAGGTTCATTTCTTTTGATTCACTGGGAGAAGTGCAGCCAGGGCCTGGGTCCTCGTGCCTCCTTTCCTTTAGCTTGTAGGAGCACTGAATACGCCGCCACATAAGCATACATTGGACGCCCGCTGGGTACCGCGTCCTCTCCTGGGCGGCTGGGGGCACTGAATGAGGAAAACACGCAGAGCTAGGGGCGCGGCTGCTTCTGCCAGAGAGCTGAGGTTGTGCTCAGAACCTGGACGTCCGGGGGTGTGTGTTACTTGAGACATCCGGCTCCACGCTGCTCTCCGGGTTTTCAACTTATCGGTCCTGCGGTCTCCCTGCGGTCCATGAGGATCTGGCTGAGCCTGTGTTTTCCGAAGCCATCCTGACCCCTTTGTTACCCCAGGAAAGGCCCTTGCTGGCCTCCGGCAGAGGTCACCTGCCGACTCTCGCTGTTTCCTTCCTGGCAAGGATGTCTGTGGTCGGCAGGAGTGACGTGGGCCGGGGCCGGGGGGGACCATTCCTGCGGTCCCTCGTCTTGGACGCCTGCTTGCTCCGGGCAGCCGGCTGGGAGGGGCTGCCCCAAGCACCTACGTCAGCCTTGGGCTCGGGAGCCCTGTGTGGCTCGGGGACCTGGGTATTTCCTTTCAGACCTGCACTTCTGTCCAAGAGAATCGTTTGGGGTTGCGGAAAGTTTGAGTGACCCGTGCAAGCACTTGCTGGCGCCTGCTGCGCCGACCAGGGTCACAGGATTCTCTGGGCCGTGCCCAGCGTGCGGGAAGCGGGGAGGGGAGGGGAAGGAGTCCGAGGAGCTGGCTGACCTTCCCGGGTCCCCGCACCTCTGGGCTTGCTCTGGTCACTGCTTACCCAACCCGAGATAGCAGGCAGGTGCCATTTCCTGGATGCAAGAGAGAAACCCGGGGCCTCGTCTGCCCCCCGGCCCTCCATTTCACTGAGCTGCAGGGACTTCCCTGCCGAACTGAGATCAAGCCGCAGACCTTTAACTCTGTCGCTTTGTGTCTCCATTGCCTCGGCCTGTGCCCAGCATCTGGTAGGAGCTGACGCCAGGTTGAGTGTGGGAATACGTGAGCCAGTGTCCTGGGCTTTTCTTGTCCAAGAACCAGGCTGGGTGAAGCCATCAGCAAGCCGACAGAGGCTGGCAGCGGTTACTCCTTCACGATCACTGGCCCTCGGCTCCCTGGAGGCCGCTCGGGACGGGGAGGGCAGCTCCGACCACGGACAGTGTCCACCTCTCCCGGACGCGGATTCCCCGTCCCTCCGGGGTTCAAGTAGGGGCCTGTGGTGGTGACTGGTGGGCTTCACCCCACAGTTACCCTGCTCCCCACCTCTGTGCGCCCCGTGTACCTGCCAGGCCCTGAGAAGTACCTCACGTGCCCCGGTTAGCCTCCCCGGGCCATAGCCAGTGCCACAGCTGCGGGCCTCAGACGCAGATCGATTCCTCACACTTGAGGGCCGGAAGTCCGAAGTCGAGGCGTCTGCAGGGCCACACGGCCTCCTCCTGTCCTTCCCAGCTCCCCGGGCTTGCAGCCACCGCTGTTCTCTCTGTGCCTCGGGTCTCTCTCCTCTCCTGAAGCCGTCCGTCACGTTGGGTTCAGGGTTGCCATAACCCAGCGTGGCCTCTTCCCCACTGGCGTCTGCAAGGACTCCTTTCCCAGGAAGATCACGTGCGGAGGTTCTCGGGGGACGTGGGCTCCGGCCCCCACTCGGAGCAGGGCGCACATCTTGTCTCACCGAGTGTCCCCAGTCGTCACCCTGCTCAGCCGCAGAGCTGCAAGGCGTAGTGGGAGCCCGAGCCAGCCCTTTCTCCTGGGCCAAGTTCAGCGCCCGGCACCTGGGGCAGCGTGGGAACAGAGTGTGGGGGCGGGGGGGGGCACGGGACGCGGCTGCCCGAAGGGCCCCCTGTGGTCACCACGGGGCACCCGTGCAGGCAGGTCTCAGCTGGTCTCCTGCCCAGGGTGTCTGCCTGCACACGGCTCCTGCCACCCTGCCCCCTGCCCCTCCCCTCACTCCTCTGCCCACCCAGTTCTCGGGTGTTGATTTGTGTATTTTGGGGTTTTCAGAAGCGGGAAGGCCTGCTCCACTCCAGCCACGTCTCAGAGGAGCTGACCACAACCACCGAGTAAGTGGCCCCGCCAGCTGCCCTCCCGCGTGACTTCCGGGCCGGGTCCCTGGGCCTCAGGGTGCGCTGTCCACGCAGACTTCTGCCCGGCTTTCCTGCCCCGCCCACTTTCTTTCGTTTCCCCCGGTAGAACCGAGTCCCCTCCCGAAGCCTGCGGTGTTTTCTTCCATACTTGGGTCGGGGGCTCTGAGAGCTTGGCTGGGTTGGCGGTGTTGCTTCAGGGTGGTCACCGAGACCTGCCCCCTCCGCCTCGGAGAGAAGAGCTGCACATCCTCACCTGGGCTTCGCTCCGGCTGGCGCTGACGTTGCCAAGCCCTCTCCCATCTCTTACTGAAAGCCGGAAGGCGGGCTCTTCTTAGTCTAAAAGGCTCCAAGCCGATTGAACATAGCAAATCAAATAGTATATTTATTCGGTGTGTGGATTTTAGGAGCCCTCAGACACCCGCTCAGGATCTTTAAAATCCAGCACGTTTGTGCTTCTTGCCTGGGCCTGCTTCGCACGAAACGGTGTTGACACACGGAGGGTCCCAGCTTGCCCACCCGCTCGTTCGCAGCGGTTTGTCACTGCGCCGTGAACTCACACGCGGGCTTCCAGACGCCTCCTGCACGTGTGTGCCGTCAGGGAGGCCCAGGAGACACCTGCGTGCGACCCCCCAGGGTGCCCAGGGGGGGAAGGGACTGGCTGGGAGAGTAGGGGATGGGGGGGCGGGGTTCAGGCACATTCGTGGGGATGTCAGGGCAGAAGGCAGGGTGTGAGGAGCCCCGGGAGGCCGCCTCAGCCGGATACCAGGAGCCCCGAGTCCTAAGGGAGGAACGGGGGGCCCAGCCCCTGGGCAGCTGCACAGCGAGGGTGGCCCTGGGGTCCTGAGAAGCCACCGTCAAGTCTGCAGGCCGATGCCCAGGTCTGCCCGCCAGCCTCCTGCCCGGCCTCTTGTCTCTGGGTCTGATCCCTCCTGTCCCTGACCCTCCTGTGCCCCCGTGCAGCTGACAGCCATCCCTGGCCTCCGCCTGTGTGGGGTACACCTCGCCCACGTCTGCCTCCTGGCGCACCTCCTGCGGGACCAGGGCACCTTGAGTTCCTTGGGGCCTTGTCACCGCCCCTCCCCTCTGGTCCCAGTACCTTCCGCCTCCTCTTTCTGGAGGTGGACGTGAGGTCACCCCTCCAGGAGGCCCTCCCGGCTCCCTTCCGGTTCCCAGAGCATCTCGTACACACCCTCCGCCTGGGCGCCTGGCCCGTGTGGAAACGCTGTGGACCTGTAGTGTCGCTGTCCCTGAAAGTGCACCCTGTCTGCACACGGCCCCTGCTCACGGCTGCACGCGGCCTCTGTACCGCAGGGGTGGGTGATTTGCTGCTGAGCTGGTGCCAGTGCCACCCACACGCGGGCCCCCATTGTCACGGAGCAGGGTGAATGTGGCGAAGCATGGGTCCGTCCCTCCCAGTCGCCCTTCACCTGGCAGGCAGGGTGGCTTCCTCTGATCACCCTGCACGGCCTGTCACGCTACTTATGACCCAGCCTCCTGACCTCTCTCTCTCTCTTCCTGTCTGCAGGATGATGATGGGCCGGTTTGGTAAGTAACCTGGCTGGGACAATGTGGGTGGAGGGAGTCAGGTCCCCGGCACCCTAGGGGGTCCCAGGAGCTCCCAGGGTCGCCTGGTCGGGCAGCGGGACCTGGACCCGTGGGCTTCCCGGCCCCCAATGCAGAGCCGGGAGGGGTAAAGGATGGGGTCGTGGGGGTCTTCGGATGTGGGAAGCTGGCTGAGGGTGGAAGGGTGGGGAAGGAAGTTGACCACAAGGGCCGGAATCAGCCAAGGGAACAGGATCGAGGGCTGCCCTCTTGGGGTGAACATTCACCCCTAGGTTTCCCACCAGAAGGGTTGTGGTTCAGGACGCCTCCCTGGGGTCGGTTGCCACTGGTGCCCCTCGGCCTGTCCGTCACCTCTTTGGAACTGGGTGGGAAAGGAGCCGTGTGAGTGTTGAGCGGGAGGATGTGCTCCGCCTGGGTTACTGCGTGTTTGGGGGGCTGCCCCCCAGAGGGCTGATGGATGGCGCTTGTCCCCTCCCCCAACACGTGCCTGCACACACACACATGCACACACATGCGCACTTTTCCTTGCCGTTCCTGTGAAAGCCTGGGACCTGTCTACTCAGAGGTTGAAGACAGCATGGAAACTTCCCCTCTGAGCCCAGCACTTGAGCTGCTTTCCCTATAAATGGTTCTGTGGCTCACTCCTTCTACCCGTGGCCACTTATCACTGGCCACACCAGCATTTGCTGGCTCTCTTGACCCCTTGCAAGAGCTGCCTGAACACAGGCTGGTCCCCCGGTCACTGGTCGCCGGCTGGGCTTTGCCAGGAGCCAAGTTCTCTGCCACTACTTCTGAACCTAGAGGGAGGCGCTCCGCCCCATGCACCCTACTCTGCTCATCACACCAGCAGGCAGCCAGGCTCCGGGGAGGCCCTGCCGGCTGTCAGCACCCTGTCCTGGCCCTGGCTGGGGCAGGGAGCAGGATTTTCGCTCCCCTGGGAGCTGAGGTTGTAGCTGGTCTCCATGGCAGCGGCTTTGCTGGTTTCCTCATCTCTGGCAGGCAGCCCCTCCCTCTCCCCAGCTCCTCGAGGCCACGTGGGATGGAGGACAAGGAGGACCTGGTCCCGCATCCCTCCTTGCTGGTTGTAACCCCGGCTTCTCCTCATGATTCTCATTTCTTCCAGCAGAGCTGGGTTTGAAACTCCAGCCCAAGGTCACCACCTCCAGGCATCATACTGGCCTCAACTCCACTGTCCCATGGAACAACTGGACTGGCTCATGCCTCCCTTTGCATATTCTGTTCCTTCTGCTTGCAATGCCTTTTTTCCTGTGTTGAGGCAGGGTCTCACTATATAGTCTGGCTGGCCTCGAACTCACTATGTAACCCAGGCTGACCGTGAACTCGGTGATCCTCCTGCCTCAGCCTCCTGAGGGCTGGGATTACAGGTGTGCACCACCATACCAACCTTTCCGTGCCTTTCTTCCCCTCAGCCCTATAAATCCCAACTCAGGTTTCATGGCTCCTTCTTGGCCTGTCCCTCCGGCCTGCAATCCCCGGGCCCAAAGTTGGGTGCCCCCAGGGACCAGCTGAGAGGAACGTGGCCGAGTCACTGCCCTTCAGCCTCCATTCGGGGTGGCAATGGGGCAGGTGCCACTGGGGGAACACCGCTGAGTCCTGTCCCTGTGGGCCTGACACCACACCTCCCCTCTCCAACAGAAGCCAGAAGTTCACAATTTTCCTGGTTTAAAAATAAAATTGTCAGTAAGGAAGACAACTTTGCTGGGACCCAGGGGTGCAGCTGGGCTGTGGTCCACAGGTCACTGCACAGGGGGCCTCCTGCTTTTGGAAGGAGGAGACAATTTGGAGAGGGAGGACATTTACCTAAGGTCTGTGGACTGCTTTTGTTCGCTTTTGCTGTGCTGAGGATTGAACCCAGGGCTCTCCCAGTGAGCTATAGCCATAACTTTTTAAAAAAAAAACTGAGGGGGCTGGGGATTTAGCTCAGCGGCAAAAGCGCCTGCCTGGCAAGCGCAAGGTCGTGAGTTCGGTTCCCAGTACCGGAGAAAAACCAAAAAAAAAAAAAAAAAAAAAAAAAAAAAAAAAAAAAAAACTGAGACAGGATCTTGCTAAGTTGCTAAATCACTCAAGCTGGGCTTTTACTTTCAGTACTCCTGCCTCAGCCTCCCAGTGTGCCACTACACCCAGCTTCAGTCTGTGGACTTTTAAGTCACTGAACTGGGATCTGCACCCTGATCTGTTTTTTTTTTTTTTTCCCCCGGTACCAGGAATTGAACTCGCGACCTTGCGCTTGCCAGGCAGGTGCTGTGCCGCTGAGCTATATCCCCAGCCCCTGCACCCTGATCTGTTTTCATCCTTACAGGGGCACGCAAAGGCCTGCGCAGGCCCTGTGTGTGACCTGGTCTCCACGGCCTCTTCTCCTGACCCTCTTGCCTCTCCAGGCTGTGTAGCCACGTGATGTGCCCCCAGGGTCCCGAGGAACCGTGGTGGCAGGCGTGGGCGGCGTCTCAGCGGCCGGCAGCCTCCTGCGTGGCTTGCCTCCGCCAGCCCAGCGGTGGCCCAGCTAAATATACCGCTGACGTCAAGCCCAGCTCCGCTCCTGGGGCTCCTCATAGGCCGCAGGGAAAGTTCGCGCAGTGCTTGGTGGAGATGCAGCTCTGTTCTTACCCCTGACAGGCTCCTGTGGAGGACAGTCTGACATAGGTGATCACGGAGACAATCTACCTCTGCCACCTTAGGAGGGCTGGCATCGGGAGGGCGACGTCAGCCTTCAGGTGGAGGAGGCCTTGTCCCCTCCCCCAACACCTGCCCGCACACACACGCGTGCACACATGCACATACATGCACACTTTCCTTGTGTCCCTTTTCACCTCTTCCCTCCCCCAAAGCCAGGGAAGAGGTTCCAGGCGTGGCTGGGACAGGCTGGGCTGTGAGTGGCCTCCTGGGCCCTGGCCCATGGGTGCCCAGCGCTTTCTTCTTGGGGCTGGGTGGGGAGGACAGCTGGGCCTCCATGGCCGCTCGCTTCTCCCCATGCACAGGCCGGGGTGGTTGCTCTGCCCCACCCCAGCCCACCAGGCTGCGCTCCCTGGGCTGTGCCCTGAGGATGGAACCCCCCCACGGCTGGCCGCTGGCCTCGTCCCCCACCACGTGCTGTCCCCTGGGGACCTTGAGGACAGCAGCCAGGGACCCAGGTTCCTCCACACACCTCCACGCCTCCTTCCTGCCTGGGGGAGACTCCCTGAGCCCTGTGTCAGCAGCAGCATAGTTGAGGCTCCCTGGGGAGGAGGGGGAGGGGGCACCTTGGGGAGATACGAGCTGCCGTCCCTGAAGCTGTCACCAGAGGCAGATCCCCCAGGATTGCTGCCACGGACCCCGAGCACCGGCTGCCAACCCTCCACTGTTCTCTGCTCAGGCAGCAGGTGCCCAGCTGTGAGGAGTTGATGGCCCAGCCGACAGCAGACAAATCAGAATGAGACGCCATCTGAGTAGTGGTGCAAAGTGGGGACGGACCGTGGGTGGGAGGACAGATAGCGGAGGTGGAGAGCCCGGGGGAGGTGGCCTGGGAGCAGCTGCCAGGCAGCCAGAGCTGAAGGTGCCAAGGCCCCGAGGCAGGCGCGTGAGGGATGCGAGGTGGTGACAGCCCCAGGCCATGGGAGAGAGAACAGACTTTAGCCGGAAGCAGTCCCGATGTGCCTGAAGGGCTGCCATTGCTGGCCAGGGGTGGGGACACGTGGAGGGGCGGGCAGCGGGGGAGCTTCGGTGCCCGGTTAGGGGCAGTGGGACGGGCGCCAGGCAGCACTTCTGGTGGGATGGGATTCACAGAGAAGACTCCCTGGGACACGGCAGGGCGAGGCACAGCATTCCCGGGAAAGTGCCCACGTGTGCTCGCTCAGTCCCTGCCAAGCGGAGGCTGGCGTCAAAGGTGCCACGGGGCTTCCAGCCCAGCCTTGGTGTTGATCCAAGCACTCCACACCCTGGGCTTTGCCTTGTGGCCCACTGCTGTGACAGGATTTCAGGGATGCTGGCAGGCACAGGGGCCGCATGCCCAGGGACCATAGCAGCTGGTCCCCTGGGTGTTGGGGATCTGGGTGGCACCCAGGCTGCCTGTGATCCCCTCTCCCTGCGTCTCTTTGCATGTCCTGGCAGAGCGAGATGCCTTCGACACACTCTTCGACCACGCCCCGGACAAGCTGACCGTGGTGAAGAAGGTAAGGGGTGGCGGCTATGTCCCCCCTGGGGTCTCCGGGTCCCCGCTGCAGGTCCCCTCTCCCCCCCCCCCAGCTTTCTGCAGCCCCAGCACCCACCTTAGGGATGCAGGGGGCAAATGTTTGGAATCTCGGAGATGTTTTCCTCAGGGACTGAAATGTAATTACAGTCAGAAGTGGGGCTGCGGCGCATAAAATTACACCTTTTCACCCGGTGTCCCTGCTCCCGGGGTGGCTTCCTGCCCTCCCTCTGCTTCAGTGAAGCGAATTAGGAGCCCGAAAGCGACAGGCAGTTCGTGGCGGTTCATTACGACTTGACTCCAGGCCTTTGTCAATGTGGAAATGTTTTTAAGCGCGTCAACCTGCTGGCTGTCACCCGCCTTGTTACCGCCAGGCTGCGCGTGGCCGCCAGCGAGCAGCCGGCTGCAGGCGCGCACTTGGCCCGGTTCCCGTCGGGGACCCGCGCGCCTCTGGAGTCCTGGTGGGAGCTACCAGCTGCCAGGAAGGGTTGTTCCCCCCGAAGGAGCTGAGGCTCTGCAGACGTCCTTCGCCTCCTCTGGTGGCCCGGAGTGGCCATAGCGCCTGCCTGGGACCTGGCTAGCAGCGTCCCAGCCGCCGTGCTCGCGGCATCCTGACTCCCCAGGAGAGCTTGCTGGAAGTGTTTCCGTCCTGTGTGAGAGTGGGATCCGTTTCTCTTCCTGTGGGGCCCGTGCTGGGGAAATGCTGGTCCCAGGTCACACAGTGAGCCCGAACTCCTGCTGGGCGGCCCTCTGGGCTGCCAGGCCTGGGCCCGCAGCGCACTGCCCTGCACCCCACCCCTGCCCCTCCCGGCCTGGGGCCCCAACAGCACCAGCCCAGTGGACATGCAGGGGAGGAAGAGTCTAATCAGAGTCCCTCGCTGGCTGTGGGCTGGGGCGAGTCACACCCCACCAGCCTCTGTTACCCCAGCCGTCAAGCAAGGACAGAGGCGTTACCCACCTCTCAGGGGCGCAGTGCAGGTAAACTGCAATCACGTCCGCGCACACTGCGTGGTCCTGGCATTGAATACGACGGGCCAAGGGCAGCTTGCGTCTTCTGGGAGACGGGCTGCCAGCTCGTCTTTTGCAAAGGTGCATTTTATAGGAGCGGAGAAGCGATGCCTTTTATTTGATTGTGCCTTCCAGCCTCCAGCCTGCCCTCCCCCAACCCCCAGGGCAAGCTGTGGCGTGGGTGGCCCCCTGTGCTCTGGAACGGAGGCAGGGACACTGTCACATCCCCAAGACCCCTCCCCCAGTCACATCCAGCCAAAGGCTGATGCCAGAGCTTCACAGGTGCGTCTGGGCTGAGTGGCTACTTGGCCACTCCCCGCCTCCCTCTTAGCTGGGCACGGCACCGGGGTGCGTGGTCCTCCCCTCACGTGCCCAGGAAGCTCCCCACGGTGCTGGTTGGCCAGGCAGGACCCTGTCCTTTGGTCTCCCTGGCCCTACCACTGGGAGTCTGCAGGACTCACAGACCGGGACTCTCTCTTTCTGTCTTGATGTCCCCAGCACCATGCATTGCACCTGCCCCAAAGTAGTGCCTCAGCAAATCCAGACAGAATGAATAGGAAACGGGGTCACAGCCAGGGCAGGGCAGCTAGAGTGGAACTGATTTTCCATTAAAGTTGGGTTTGATTGCTGAGACTTTACAGAGCACACATCTTGCCAGAGAGAAGCCAGTGGCCTTCGGTGCCCAGGTAAGAGCACACAGAGCCCTGCAGCCCTGAGGTGAAGTCACGGCAGGGTGTGTTGGGCACGGGAGGGGCCGCCTTTCCCTCGCCACACTTGGAGTCTGCCCTTTGGCATCCAGGGTCACATCCAGGACACACCTGCAAATTTGATTCTCTTTCCTGACAATTTTATCCGTAAGAGCACTGTATTCCATGTGGCTGCTAAGTACGGCCTGTGCATGTGTGGATCAGAATCATGCACACGGGTTGGTGTGATTCTTCTCCAGCTGCGTACACATGGCGCCAGCCCACCACGGCCAAGGGCTGCTGAATTAATGCTTGCTTTATCTCAGCGAACAGAGGAGATTCCAGACACACTTCAAGAAGCCAGGGCTGGGGTACGCGGTCTCTGTCCCGCTCCGTGGGGATGGAACGTGGCCCCTGACGGCCCTCCCTCTCTCTCTGCTTTCACAGTCGCTCATCACGTTTGTGAACAAGCACCTGAACAAGCTGAACTTGGAGGTGACGGAGCTGGAGACCCAGGTACGCAGTGGGCTGATAGGTCAGGCCGGGCCATTCCATGCGACTGGAAATTTCTCCTGGGGCCTGTTTCTGAGTTTGCGTTGCACCTTCTTACAAGGGCTTGGCAGTGTTGGGCCAGGCCCCGCCATAATAACTCCATCGAGAGCTAATCACCTGTTTCTGGAGAGGTGACATTCTCAGGTCCTAACACTAGGACTCTGACATCTCTTTTTTGGAGTCAAAGTTCAACCCATCATACCTTCCAAGGCTCTACCTCCAGCTACCCCAGGGCCTTTGCATGTGTGGGTCCCTGTGCCTGGAACTTCCATCCTCTTTGCTTGCATGGTGGGGCCCCCCCACCCTTCACCCGGACCTGAGTCTCACCGATGCTCAGTAAATATCTTCGGGTGAACGTGCATGAGGTCTGCCTTCGGCAGTAAGGTGTATAAAATATACCCCACCCCCCAGAGCCGAAGGAGCACGGTGGAAATATGTTCTCAAGCGCTTGGTGGGCATTAAAGACAAAATATAATTTTCCCCGGATTAGCTGGAGACTTCTGCGTTCTCGGTGCAGACTTCCCTAATGCATCGCTGATCCTTCTTAAGCCCCTGGATTGGCTGTCCTGCGCCTTTCCCTTTCTTTAATTTGTCTCGTTTGCTTTTCTAATTAAAAAAGTAATTCAGGTTCATTGTGGAAATGTCTGAAAATGCAGATAAGCAAAGCAAACAAAAGTCACCCGTCATCCCATCCCCCAGGGATGAGCGGGCCCAGGGATTTTTGGCGACCGCTTGCCTCCCCACCCGCGTGGCTGGCCGTGCACAGGCAGCAGGCCTGCAAGTGGAGCCCAGACAGTCTGTTTTCTGGTGTGCGTATTTGTCTGTGCATCCTAAGCAAGCACATTTATATTATTTGCAGCAGTTTCCTAATGTTGCCGTTCATCTGCTGCACATTGGCTGTTCGACACGTTAACAGTCCCCAAGCCTGCGGAGCACGGAGTGGAAATTCTCTCTCCTCGCCCGAACTCTCCCCTTCAAACTCCCCAGGCAGAACTAAGTACAGGGAATGGGTGGATGTTTCTCTCCTGAGATATTTTATGAGCATAAATGTGTTTTCTCAAATGACAGTGGATCACACGGTACAGCTGTCTTGTAATGTGCTTTTTGTTCCTGAATTTATTATAGGCATCTTTTCTTGTAGGAGAAAGAGCGGTGTGTGTGCGTGTGTGTGTGTGTGTGTGTGTGTGTGTGTGTGTGTGTGTGTGTGCGCGCGCGCGGCTGTCAGATCCTCTCTCTCCTGTTCAGTCTGTCCATCTAGACTCTGTCACTTTTAATAGCCGCTTCTCCACAGCTGGCCACGCTGCGCTCCGAAGCCGGCCCCTGGAGGTTGGATGTTTCCAGGCTGCTATGCAGGGGACAGTGACCTCTTCGTGCACAGCCACCTGCGGCCTGGTACCCTCCTCGGGTTTAACTCCCACCGTGGAGGTGCAGAGCCAGGCAGCACGTGTCGTGGAGACTAGGACGGTCTCCACACTCAGCGCTGTCCCAGGCCACTCTCCCTCCCAGGATCAGTCCCAGAGCCAGCATGTTAGACTGGATTTGCCTCTGTCCTTATCCACTCCATAGCCTCTTTTTTGGAAAAAGGAGGCAAAGTCTGCCCTGCCCATGAGCTGAGATCATGCAGTGACCTGGGAGCCCCCAGAAGGACAGGCCCCTGGTGACAGGCAGGGCTTTTCATATCAGGTGTTGGTCATTTCATGGTTTCCTTTTTTTGTTTTGTTTTTGAGACAGGGTCTCGATAGGTCGTTCAGGCTGGCCTTGAACTCACTAAGTAGCCCAGGGTGGCCTTGAACTCCCAGTGCAGACCTCCGCTCCAGCTGGACACGCAGCATGTCCTGCCCACCTAGTACCCCCCCGTGCTCAGATCTCTCCCCTCTTCTTTGTTCTTTGTGGGTTGGGAGTTGAGTCTCAGAGACTCCAACCTGGCCTTCCTTGCTTTCAGATCTCTCGCCTGCATGCAGGAGGGATGGATCATTTGGCTGTAAAATCTCCCTCTTGAGCACGCACAAAGTGCTCTCCCAGAAATGTCACCAGGTGTTTCTCTGCAGTTTGCAGACGGTGTGTACCTCGTCCTGCTCATGGGCCTTCTGGAGGACTACTTCGTCCCCCTCCACAACTTCTACTTGACTCCAGAGAGCTTCGATCAGAAGGTACGGGTGTACATTCGTGCGGTAGCGCACCCCTGTAATCCCAGCACTCTCAGAGGCCGAGGCAGGACAATCGCAAGTTCGAGCCCAGCCTGAGCAACTTAGTAAGACCTTTTCTCAAAAGTTAAAAAACGAAAACAGAAAAGAGCTGGGGATATAGCTCAGTGCAGAGGTCCCGGGTTCAATCTCAGTACGGCCCGGGTCTCTGTCCCAGGGGCGTGACCCCAGCCTGCTCACTGAAGGGCACAGCCGAGGGTGATCCCTCAGCTCTCTGCAGCCTTGCTGCGCCCTTTAGAACCCAGAGCCCGCTCAGCATGTGGGGGACTGCAGCTCTCGGGGGTCGCTGTCAGTGACGCACAGCATGTCAGAGCTTGGCTCGCCATGTCCTCCTCAGTCTTTGCCGCCGCCCGCGTTACCTTTAATCACCGCGGTCAAACGTCAGTGGAGCTGCGCATCCTGCCCTCGCCACATGCATGCCCCCGCTGTTTCCCGCTGCTCTCTGAGCTTCCCGAGCACCATTTTCAGGGGTGGTGCCCAGTCCTACCAGGCGGCTCTGTGCTAGTGTCCCCCTGCTCCCCACTCGTGGGCATTGATTTGTTTCTGTTTTATTCCTGCTAAGATAATGGGGCATCTTCTCGAGTGGGTGCAGCCAACTCCCTGCGTCTGCAGGGGTCTTGGACTGCTCCCCCAGACACCAAAATGCATGGATGCCACGACCCTTGGTGAGATGGCATCATGTTGGCGTGGAGGCAAAACCTAATGCGGCACAGGGCTCTGTGAAGAGTCTCTCTCCTGCGCTGCTTAGGGAATCGCGATGGGAAGAAACTCTGTACGTGCCCAGGACGGATGCAATTATTTTTCCACATGTTTTCCATCTGCCTTTGGATTCATCTGCAGAGGTGGAACCCACAGATATGGAGGACCGGAACGCACAGATACGTAGATGTGCGTGTGTCCCTATGTACGAGGCATTCCTGTGGTTGTGTTCTTAGGAAAATTTCCCAGATAGCGTTGTTTCATTCGATCCTGGGGGCTGGGTGCCCGCCCCGCCCCCAGCACTGTCCCTCTCCGGGGCTTCTGCCGTTGAGCCTGTGCCACCTTGAACCCTCAGCCAAGGCGGGGCTGGACTGCCTTGGACTCACCGGCGTCTGTCATTTAATTTCCCCGAAGTGCTAGACCCGTGAGTCAGGAGGCACAATGGAAGCCGCTGGCGGCAGCCAGGGAAACAGCAGAGGATGGGGCCAGCGTTCACCAATCTGCTTGCTCCTGGCACCGCACAGCCTGTTTGCTCGTGGCCAAATGCCGCTCCCGGCTTGCCTGCTGAGGTGCAATCAGAACAGATCGGCGAGGCCTTGGCCGTGCTACATGGAGAGAGTGCGCGGGGCTCGGGAGCAGAGGGAAGGGGCCGCAGGGCCCTCGGCGCCACCCACGCCGCTGCCTGCGCGCTAGAACTCAGAGGTCACGCAGTGAGGTCGAGACGTCCGCGCGTTCCCAGGCCCTGGTGAGCCGGAGGCCGCAGCCTTGTTTTGGAGCGGTCTTTGCTTTGTTCCGGCAGACAAGGGCGCCGACAGGAGCCAAGGATTTAAGCAGCTCCGGAGCCGGGTCCCTTGCCACGGCTTTGTGCAAATGACAGAGGCGGCGCCCCAGCGCCAGCCCCAGCTCTCACCCCTTTGAAAGGAGGCAGACGAAGGGGCCTTTGTCCGAGGCTGCCCTGGCCAGCAAGGCGCTGAGCCGCCTCCCCTCCTCCCTGCCCTGTGCCGGGAAAAGGACTCTGTGGGCCTTGAGGGCCGTCAGGGGTGCAGGGGCCGTTCCCACGCGGGCATCCTGAGTTTTCCATGGGGCAGGAGTCTTGTGTTGCTCTTCCTCCCACGTCCTCACCTGTCTGCATTTTACCCCAAGCTTGTTCTGCACGCAGGTGCGTGCCGGTGCACGTGCGTGTGCTCGGATTCCCCGGGGGGCAGCTAGAGGCAGGAGGCAGGGGCCGGTGGAGGATGGCACGGATTCCGGACACAGACTCGCTGTGTGTTCGGCCCTGGGCCTCTCTCTGCTCTTCTGGTTACATGCCCTTTAGCAACGGATGATGGCACCCACCTCACTCTGCTCCAGGAGGGGTCCCATGCCCCGTGATAGCCCTGTCCCCCGGGGGGCTGTGCTTAGCACCCTCTGTGACCCCCGTCCTGGCTCTTGCCCCTTCTCTGTGCCTAGTGCTCACCCTGTCCTCCACTGTCCCCAGGCCCTGCTCCTGCCCTGCAGGTCAGGGCACCCTACTTCCTGCACTGTGTCCCCACTTCCTGCCCTGCCAGTAGGAGGGCTAGGAATCTCACGGGCAGGACCTGGGGTCCCGGAGCCGATCCAGCCTGCGTAGAGATGGCCTGTCCTCCCACTGGGTGGCGCTCCTGTGCCTAGCGGGGTGGGGGGGCGGCAGTATGCTAGGGGTGCTGGCAGACTGATCTCCCCTTTGCCTCTCTGAACACCCAAGCTGCTTTCTAACATGGTGGGTTCCACTCGCCAAGGGTTAGTGACTTTCCTGGCTAATTTTTAAATTACACTGAGAGTGAAGTTATCATCCAGGTTTCTGACTGATTTTTGCTGCAGTCATGAAGACATTGTTATGGAAGGGCTGCTCGATCCCCAAGAGCCCAGAGTCCTCTTCAACTCTGCCCTCTGCCTTGTTTGGTTTGTTAGTCGATGCTGGGCATGACCAGGGTCACCCCAGGTGCGGGTGGCCTTGAAACACAGCCATGGGGGTGCGCGTTCCGACCTCTGCAGCTCATGAGCAGAACAACAGCCCAGCACTCTGACCTGAGAGAGGAGGCCCTGTCATTTCCACACACGAGGGGTCTGGGTGTGTCTGCCTTGCTGTGGCATCAGACAGGCCTAGCTGGAGACTGGGTGATATTCCAGCAGTGTCCACAGTGCCAGCTCAGTGACCCAAGAGCACCATGTCCCACAGACCCTGGGACAGGCCACCCGCAACACCCAGCTCTTCATGGCCTTCCTGGCAGATACGAGGTGGCTGCTCTGAGCGGGGGCTGTGTCCAGGCTGGGTGTCTCTGAAGGGACTTGTCCTCCCAAAGCCTTAGTTTCTCCATCTATAAAATGGGACCACGGTTGCTTCTTATCACATGGCCGGGGTCTGGGGCAGAGTGGGGACTCAGTGGCTATGGGTCCTCCAGGGCAGGCAGGGCATCTTCCCATCCCCAGCCCCAGGTCCCAGTGTGGGGAGTGGGAGCCATCTAGCCGCTGTGTGTCACTGGCACCTCTCCGTGCCCACCTGCGTCTCCTCGGTCCTTGTGGCTGTAACAGAGCCCCCTCCACACTCACTGCCACCCAGCCTTCTGAAGGGAGGCAGCAGGTGGCCAGCAGGCCAGGGGGCCGGGGCCGCAGTGCTGACCCGCTCCTCCTCCGCAGGTCCACAATGTGGCCTTTGCCTTCGAGCTGATGCTGGACGGGGGACTCAAGAAGCCCAAGGCTCGCCCTGAAGGTAAGGCTCCCCTGGGTCCCCACAGGCAGGCCCGGTGTGGCAGGGGTGAGACTGGGGCTTAGGAGGGGCTGCGGGCTGGATTACTGACTCCCAGGAGGCCTTGGGACCCGGGCTTGCTGGTCGGGCTCTGCCAAACCCGTCCAGGGACCAAGAGGTGCTCATTGGCGGCCCTTTCCCCCGTGTTGCCTGGGCTGGCCTTGAACCCCTGGCCTAACCTCAGCCTCCACAGTGCTGGGATGACAGTGAGATGCCACCGTGCTCGCGTCCACACTGGCTCCTTAACAGCCACTTGACCTGCAGGCCAAGGAGGCCTCTGGCCACCGGCCCCAGGGCCCAAGCGCCTCTCCTCGCATCGGGAAGATGTTGAGGGTCAGTGTCTGCCGGCTAAGGGCTCCTGAGGCCCAGCAGAGGCCATTGCTCATGCAGAGGGGCTTGGCACACGCGTGCTCCATGTGGGTCTGAGCAGGGCCGGGATCACCTCACTGTCCCTGGCTCCCCAAGACCTTCCTTAATGGCAGGAAAGAGGATCTTGTCTTAACTGAGGTTCACAGGCTGAGCTAAGGGCCTGGCAGCTGTTGGGGCCTTGGGGACCACAGAGGGAACCTGGGGATGGGCCAAGGGTCACAGTGTCCCAGGACGGAGCCCTGTGCTTCCATGCAGAGGCCGATGATGCTGTGGGTGGCAGGGTCTGGTGGGATTTTCAGTGTTTCCTTTCCCAGCGAGGCTCTTGAGACCTTCTGAAGGTCAGACCCGGGGCGGCTGCCCCTGCTTTCCCAGTGACTCTGCAAGGTGAGGGCAGGACTGTGGACCCCGCCCCAAGTGTCCCCGGTCTTCGCTGCCCGGGGTCTGTGGCCGCTGCCCTTCCCGTCTCACTGCCTGCATTATGTGTTGGGGAGGTGGGGAGCCCAGGTCCGTGGAGAGCCGCCTCCAGCCCCTGGAGCTGAGGTCACATGGTCAAGCCGTTCCCTGCCGCCATCTTGGTTTTCTCTCCCACGGATCAGGAGGAGAGCGCGGGAGGCTGGGTAGGAGGACAGGCTGGACTCGGAGCGGACTGTGCCCTAAGTTCCCTGCTCCGGCGATTCGTCACCGGCAGGGGTGGGACGAGGTGGTCACTCTGTGGCTGCCCTTCAACCATAGGCTGAGAACCTCGAGGCCTCTCTCCTCCCACCAGTGCTGTCTCTGTTTCCCTCTGCAGATGTGGTGAACCTGGACCTCAAGTCCACGCTGAGGGTGCTCTACAACCTGTTCACCAAGTACAAGAACGTGGAGTGACAGGCACAGCAGATGGCGACGGCGGCGGGGACAGTTACCGGGCAGGAGAAGCGGGGTCCATCCGCGTGGGCCTGAGCCTTCCAGGGCAGCGTCCCGGGCTTCCAGGCTTCCATCCCAGCTTGGTGGTTGTTCTCAACCTCTGCTTCTCGTGACTCCCGGGACCTTTGAAAATGGACGCTTTGCAGCCTTGCTTCCCAGGCTGCTGAGTTAGCTGTTGTTGGTCTTGATCAAAAGAGGGAAAAGAAAAGGCCCTGCCCCCACCCTCGGCCTCGACCCGGCCTGTGATGGAGGGGGGACCGGTCACAGGCGCTGGCCCAGTGCCACTGTCGCTGGCGCTGCTGCGCGGGCACGCTCCCCAGGGAGCCTGCCTGTCTTCTGGGCTCCCTCGGGGGTGGGCTGTCCTCGGAAGCAGGGCCTTTTTAGTAAAAGGCTTTTGAGGTTTAAAAATGCCTCCCTCTCAAGTCCCCGCAGCTTCCGATGTGCCGTGTTTCATCCCCTACTCCTGCGGCGTTTGGTCACTCGAGTTTCAGTTGATCTTTTGCACAAAAGACCTGGGCGGACCGACTCCCCTGCTCACAGAGGCGGTGGTTGTGGAGGGCTGCTCTCGGTTTTGTGCTGCGGGGCCGGGGCCGGGCGTGGAGCCGGCTGCGAAGGCGCCCTGGAAACAACTTGGGGTGCCACGTGGAATGGACGTGGGTATCTGTGTGCTAGGCTTTGGGGCGGAGAGCTGCAGGGGCCAGGCAGCTTCAGCAACAGAGAACTTGGGGCTCCCAGCTCCGGGGTCTGCAGGGCCGGTTCCTGCCGAGGCCCCTCCTTGGGCAGCTTCTCCCAGGGTTTGTGTTTTTTTGCCGTGTGTCTGTGTCCTCAATGCCTGTTCTTAGCAGAGCGGTCCTCCTGCAGTGAGAGCCATGCGGAGGCGCAGGTCCTCACCCCTCAGTGACGGCTCTGCAGCCCCGGCTGCAAGTGCAGCCTCACACTTGGGGTGGCACCTCAGCTCAGCCCACGGCGGGGGCACATGGAGCACTCACCCCGCCGTCCCGAGTGAGGCGGTGTCCACCTCCAGGGTCCTGCGAGAAGAAACACTGTCAGCCCTGCCTCACCTTGGCTCCGCAGCGAAATGAGGGTTCAGTGACTGCATTTCCCGGGGTTTCCTGCTCTCAGGTGTCCTGCCCCGTGGCCTGTGCCTGCCGCATTCGCTCCCAGCTCCCGGGGCCCCCTGCGCGGCCACACGGCCCTGCATACTCAGCATTCACAGCAGCGATGACCAGACGGGCCTTTCTGGTTCTCAGAGCCCCACCTTGCTGCAATAGGTCAGAGCTGCGGAATAAGTCGTTCGTGTTACATTGAACGTCAGCGCGAAGTTTGGAGAAACAGTTTAATATTCGTCCTCTTTCCGCCGTTGCTAGGCTGGGGATGGGATCCGAATAGCCATTTTGAGGGAGGTGGTTTCCCAGCAGGGGCAAGAAATAATTAAAACGGCATTACGGCGTCTCCTGCGGGATGCGGTGACATTAAAGAGCCACACTGACAAAATATCCAGGGCTAGAACGTTCCGTGCTGCCTTGGTTACACACATGGAACCCCGGCAGCCGGCGCCGGCGGAGCTGGGCCTGGCCTGTGTGTTCACAGGCGGGCTCGGGGGGGGGCGGGGGGGACCCGTGCTGGGAGTGGTGGGGGCCGCAAGGAGCAGAGGAGGGAGATCAGGATTTCCAACTGAAGCGAGCGGACATCCGGGTGTCCTGGCAGCCCCTGTCCCGTGGCCTGGACAGAGGCTCTGAGCTCGGGTTCACTGTGCCAAGGCTGAGTCTCCCCGTGTTCCTGGGCCGGGATCTCTGGAGCGAGAGCCCTGTCTCCTGTGGCCTGCCCGCGCTCAGGCATCTTGGGGTCACTTGTACCCTAGAAGCCACTTACTTCCCTTCGGCTGTCTCGGAACTCCCTCGGGACCCAAACCTTTCTCTCTTCATTCATTTTTTTTTTTTTCCTCTCTCTTTGTTCTTAATTCAAGGGAGTTCCAGAGCTTGGAGGCCACATTTTTGTGATTTTTAAGTGGTTGTCTGAAGCCGGGCCCAGAGGAACCAGGTGACAGCAAGGCCATTGTGTCTCCCCCAGGGGCTGAGCTTGGACAGCCCCAGACAGACACTCGTACCCTGTCCTCCCCAGGATGGCTGCATGGCCCTTCCCTGGCCTCGGCTTGTCCCCCTGCATCCTGGAGCCCAGCGCACATGGCACTGCGTAAGCGCCGAGCCCAGGGCCCCGCGGTGTCCTAATTGGCTGCAACAAAGAATGATTTTATTCTAAAACAGCTGAAGCCTCTTTTCCCCCTGTGTGTGCCAGTATTTTATTGTCTTTTTAATTGTTTGAAGCGACATTTACTTTGGATCTCTGGATATTAAATAAAAACCACTAAAACCCTGGCCAGGCTTTGATCAGAACGGCCGAGCTGACAGCAGGAAGCCACATTGTCGCCCGTGGTGGGGCGAGCCGGGCGCTTCCGTGCCAGGCACGCGGGCTGGGAAGACGCCACATGGTGCGCCTCACCACGTGCTGTTGTTTATTCCAAGAAAGACTGCGGGAGCGCCGGGCTGTCCTCTGTCTTTTTCGCCTGCTGTTTTTCTCCTTCATGCATTTAACAGTCGACATAGGTTGTGCCCCCCTGGTGCTGGACTGTGGGACTCTGCACCACCCTGTGGGTTGGGAGCTTTGGCCCAGTGCTTCCGGCCAGGTACGGGCTGGGTGAGAACACTGCTGCTGGGAGGGGCCCTGCCCTCTCTCTTTGGAAGGGACAGAAGGTCACAAAACCTCTCGTGCCGCCACAGGTTGACCAACCTTGACTGTTGAGGGGAAACCCCTGGGTGGCCTGCAGCAGTCGTCTGACCTTGTGCTCTCCCAGGCAGAGGTCCTGTAAAGTGTCTGGTGGACCGTTCTCTCTACAAAGCGGTGTGAAGACCGTGGCTGGTCTGGGACAGCAGCACAAAGATGCTAGTTCAAAAAACAGAAACAAAAGAACTGAAAATTGCAAGCTGTGTCTGGAAAGAACCCAGGCTTTGAACAAAGGCTTGGGTTTGAACCCAGCTTTGTCACCGTGAGGCCACTGATGGCCTCATGACCCGAAGCCTCCCAGCTTAGGTCTCTGGGGCAGATCCACCCCAACCCAAGTCCACTGTCGGCCACCGTGGTGCTCCTTGAGGAAGCCGTGTCTGTAGTCGGTCTCCCTGGGAGGTGAGCTCCTGGCCTGTCACTGTGGAGGCTGCCTTGCTACTCAGTGTCCTACAAGGCACAGGACAGCGAGGCCCATCTGCCCCACCCCGCCCCCAGTGTCTGTAGAGCTGAGGCTGGGAACCCCACGTGGCAGAGCCAGCTCGGGGCCAGCCTGCCTCGGCATGGTTCACTGGGTGGGATCTGTCTGTCAGTACTGATGGTGAAGCATCGTCCCCCGAGATCCCACTTCTCAGAAGACAGCCATGGTGCACGACCCTCCAGGGACTTTCTTATGGTCCTGTCCCCGGCGTTCGTCCCAGGTCTGGTTTACCTGTGCCTGGAACAAGTGACCAGGGACAGAACTGGCCCCTGCCCTGAACCCTGAGCCTTGGAAGACTCCAAGGTGATGTGTGGTAGGGACGGGTGGGAGACAGCCACGCCCCGAGCAGGCGCCATGGGGCCAACTGGGTGGAGGCAAAGGAGCCCAGGAAGTCCCAGGGCCAGGCCCGCCCCAGTCCTTGGTCTTTAGAGAAGTGTTTTGTCCCATTTTTCTCGGCTTGTTAGGACCCTCAGGAAGTCCCGCCCCTCCCACCAGTTCAGCTTTGCCTTGCTAGGGGGACGTGTTCTGCTTGAGAGAGTCCCCTCCTATCCTTCCGCCAGCCTCTGGGGAGCCATACCTCCCACGGCACTTGCCCTCTTCTCTGGCAGAATCAGCAGACTGAGAACTTGGACAAGGAAGGGCCCTTCTTGGTCATCTCGCCGGACTCTCCCGGGCGGGACCCAGCTCGGCGCCCTTGCTGACCTTGGGCCACCACGGGCTGGGGACCCGCTGCTCTTCCTGGAGGACGACTACTTGCAGCAAGTATTTTCCTCTAGACTCAGGTCGTGAAATTGTGGCTGATGTATCCTTTTCAGCACGTGATGCTCACGAGAGAGGCTGTGTTGATTTGCCCTGTATTTTATAATGTTAATTTTGATTACTTAGTCAAGATGCACTGAAAAGCTAACTCTTCCTTGTGATCAATAAATATTTATGGGGAGAGAATTTTCAGTTATGGAGCAGTTTCTCCTGCAGAAATAAGTGGAAAGCTCAATCAAATACAAGAAATAGATGTCGGAGATATTAGACCGTCGGTCTGTGATCCCCACAAAGAGGGAGGCAAGTGGGGGGTCCCTAGCCTTGCTTGGAAGAACCCCTGGACTGCAGTGTAAGGAGGGGAGGCCCGGACAGAGCCACATGGTCTCACTGATTTGAAGGGTCATAGAGTACAAGGTCAAGATTAAAAGCAAGCATCAGAAGAACCAAAGTAATCCACAATTAACTGCCTGCCAGGGGATTTGTTTGCTTGTTTTGAGACGGGGTCTCACTATGTAACCTAGGCTGGCCTCGAACTTAGTGATCCTCCTGCCTCAGCCTCCTGAGCCTTGGGAATACAGGCGTGCACTACCACACCTGACCTGCCAGGGGAATTTTAACACCCTTTAAAGGAACACAACAAACCCCAGCATTCAACAACATAAAAATAGCTTGTCTAGGGCTATAAAATTCTATTTTTTTTTTTTTTTTAAACAGGGTCTCCCTGTGCTGTTCAGGCTGCCCTTGAACTCACTTTGTAGCCCACATTGTCCTCAGACTCACAAGGATCCTCCTGCCTCAGCCTCCCGAGTGCTGGGATTACAGGCGTGGGCCACCACGCCTGGCTAGGGCTATAAAATTCTTACAGGAAAAAAAGAGTGACTTATTACCAGTCTATTACTGGTAGACTGCTTCTACCAGTCTGTAGAAGCAGACCAGGAAATAATGTTACAGACAGCTGAGTTAGATAGAAATATTGTAGGCAGTCAGACAGGGCCAGGCCCTCGAAGGAGCCAACATGAAAGACAAGACACCTGTGGGCCAGAGCTCAAGACAAAGGACTAAACAAACACACCCTCTTACCTCCCAAGGGATGGACATCCAGGATTGACATTCTAAATAGGTAGTGATCACCTTGAAGAGTCCCTGACCCAACGCCCTACAGGAAAAGCCCCTGTTCTGTATTCATGTCCTCTTGCTACTTGACTTGCTTCCCCATTTGATCCCAATTTAATCCGTTCTACCTGAACAGTTCTTAGTGGTTGACCATAGTTTTGTCCGTTTTCCCCTACCTTACACCTACCTCACCTCGTGGTTTTGCTCTATAAAAGTCCCTAGAAAAGACAAAGTCTTGAGCAACCCACTCGGGCCCCCTTCTGTCCCTTTCTTGGACAGAGGCTTTCTTTCCCTCAATAAATATGTTCTGCTCTTAACCTCCGTTGTTCCTAAAGTTCATTCTTCGATTTTAGAGAACACAGACTCGTCCCATATATCATTCAGGTTGGACGTTTTTATTTTCCTGTATCAGTAACAGAGATGGTGGCTCTTAGGGGCAAGTGACCCGGATGCTTTAAGACTTCTGACGTCGGGAAAGATTGCTGTACGTGGGAGGGCCTTGTGGACAGCCAGCTGCCAAGTGGCAGTCATGCAGTCACATGTGATGTGTGGTCCCTGCTTGGATCTTTGAGTCACACACACACACAGTGATAAAAAAGTTTTTTAACACTTGGGAAGTTTGACTATGAATGAAATATTGCAAACTACATCAATGCCAATTTTCTTGGGTTACCATAATGGAATTGCATTTTGTAAGAGAGTGTCCTTACTCTTAAGAGACACATTCTGAAGTATTTAGAGGTAAAATGATACAGCCCCTGAAATTTATTTATTTGCTAAAAAAAAAAAAAAATTGTGGTAAAATATACATGGTATACAACTAACCATCGTAGCCCTTTTAAAAATTACAGTTCAGCCAGGCGTGATGGCACATGCCTGTAATCCTAGCACTTGGGAGGCTGAGGCAGGAGGATCGTTGCGAGTTCAAGGCCACTGGGCTACAAAGTGAGTTCAAGACCAGCCTGAACTGCATAGTGAGACCCTGTCTCAAAAAGACAAAAAAAAAAAAAAAAAAATTACAGTTCAATAGGGTTGAGTTCATTCACATTTTTGTCCAAAACTTTTTCCATCTGGCAGAACAGAAACTCTATATTCATTAAACAATAACTCCCCATTCTCCACGGTCCCTGCCCTAGAATCACTATTCTACCCTCTCTGTACGGATTTGATTATTGATACCCCATAGAAATGGGACCACCATTTTACTAACATAAAGTCCTCAGGGCTCGTCAATGTTGTAGCAGGTTTCAGAATTCCCTTCCTTTTAAGGTTCAGTAACATTCCATTGTGTGAATATAATACCTTTTTTATATTCATCCTTGCAAATTATTTTTATTTCTTTGTTGTGAAAGGGATCGAACCTGGACCTTCATGCCTGCTGCGCAAGCACTCTACCACTGAGTGACATCCCCAGCCCCTGCAAATTATCTTTAAATACCTCAGAAGCAGAGTGAAAGAGAAAGCACAGGTAGTAAAAACATTTTGGGGGAGGAGGTGCGCTTTCCCTGAGCTTTGGGGATGTAAATATAATTTAAGTGTTTCCTAAATAAAGTTTGGCTGAAACAACATTGTGTTGCATTGTGTTGAGACAGACGCAGACATATACATTCTGCAGGTTTGGGGTATTAAAAACCAAGATCATTGCCAGGAAAATTTTCCGAGAGATGTGCTCTCATGCACGTGTACGTGCGTGGAGGTTTGTGCATGGCTGTGCCTATGTGTGGAGGACCACCTGGGCGACCCTGCTTGAAGGAGGAGCAGTCGTCTCCGTTTGGGCTGAGCCTGGCCATTTCCATGCACTGATGTGTGCAGAGCTGGCTGGGAGTTTTCTTTACCCCTTTAGCTAGCTTTGAGCAATGCACATCGGTCCAGCGGAGGTGCTGATGTGTAGTCTTTGAGACACTGCTTCACATTGTGGGCTGGGATCGAGATAAGAGGCTCTGACTTCTCAGGGCATAAAAGATCACACATTACAGCAGAAGCACCAACGCCAAAACATCACATACTACTCAGCTGTGTCATGCAGATCACTCTTTCTGCGTATGGCAGAGGAGATCTCAGGCCTCCTACCTAGCCCGGCTCACAGCACTCAATGTACTTCCTGCCACTCTCATGCTCACTCATCCTCAAGCCACTCCCTCTTCACGAATTAATAAAACCCGAGTTCAGCCCTGGGTGGAGGCCTTTGTTCTGGATGGCCATCATGGTGGCTGGACTTAGGACCCCGCGGCTCCCCATAACTACAAACATGCCTTAACGTCTTTATTGACATGGGTTGCACTGGAAGTGGTAGATTGGAGTTAACTTGCTAGAATTCCAGTAACTTTTCCATGGGATCACAAATACAAACTTCTCCAACTGCTACGGGGGCCGCGCAGGGTCTCTGTTCTTACGCATATGTGATAATCACCCAGCCAACCGCAAGCTACGTGTGTGTAGGTAACAGCAAAGCACACAGTCTGTGTAGTCATTATAACCCTTGTTTCTGCAACTGCTCAAGAACCTGCAGTTATATCTGTAACTTTCCATCTCTGTGTTTCACAACGCATCTCCCCGCACCCCGACCTCAGCCAGACACTGTCTCTCTGCGGGCGCCCCAAGCCTTCCTGCCTGTGGGCTCTGAGGCCTTGGTCCTCCTGCTGCCAGGAGGTGGCTGTGGTCTTCCACGGAGGGGTGCCGTGTGACACAGCCCTTCTGGGGCGCACCAAGGGCTCTGCTGGGCTCTCGACTCCCCACACCCCGACTGAGTTACCACAGCCCTCCTTGCCTTGGAGAATCAGGCTTAAAATCCCCATCCAATTCGGTCTGGTTTTTTTTTCTGTTGCTCCGGTGGCATTAGAAGGCCATTGTGACCAGGTGGCCATGGTGTCCCCTGGTACTAGCATCTTTCTTGGGTACTGAACCCTCTTAGCCGGCAGAGCCCGAGGTGCCTCCCTCCCAGGGCTGGGCTGAAAGACACTCACACAGCAGCATGCACCTCTGGTCCTTGCCTGAGGGCCTGGAGACCGAGTGTGACTCAGCACTCCCCTTTTTCTACTTCAGTGAACAGCTTCTGGGAATTTCCCATGAGGCCACAGGCCAGGGCTGAGGGAGAGATGGCAGCCTGCTGTTCAGGTAATCTGTCCGTGTCATTAGGTCTGTGGAGTCTAACCCCATGTACTCCTTCTCATTGACACACTTGGCTTTACAGATGGCAGATCCCATACCAGTCAGTGTCTGACGGACAGCTCCGTGTCTGTGGTCATTTGGAACTGAGTCTCAGTCAGTTTTCTGTTGCTGTAACGAAACACCCAACCCTGGGTAACTGAAAGAGCAGAGGGTTATCTGACTCCTGTGTCTGCAGAGGCAGAGTCTAAGAACGCTGTGCTGGCATCTGATGGGAGTCTTGAGGCTCTCCCTGGTGCAGCCTGGTACAGTGGAGGGGGTCGCCTGGTGAGACACAGCAAGCGGGTGAGCCAGTTAAGGGGGCTCCACACTTAGGACCTCAGTGCATCCCGGTTCCCTCCCCCAAGCTCCACCTCCAGTAACCCTTGACGTGTGAATTTGGAGGTTCAATCTCCAGTACCCGCGTCTTGGGGTGGGTCACACTCAAACCGCAACACGGGCAAGGATCGAGCCGCTCATTCCTAAGAGAAGGACAGACAGCTGCGGCTGCAGCCTGGGGCCTGGACTGCGACCCTCCTCTCACCCAGCATCCTGGTCTTCCTTGCCTACTTCCGGCCTCCATGGACCCGCTGATTCACCAGGGTTCGCCATGGCTGAGCTGCGGCTCTGCTTCTAGGGCAGCTGCAGAAGTCGCCAGCTCTGGGTCCTGCGCCCAGGGGGCAGCCTTGCGGTTTACTCTGCCAGGGCCGGCGCATCCCCAGCAAGACGTGTGCTGCCTTTGAAATCAGCAGCACCCGCCGCCAAGTACTGTGCCTCTTCTCAATTGTAGATGATGGTGCAGCCACTTCAACTTCATTTAGGAGCGGGTTGTCCCTGAGTCACCAAACAAGCAGATGCCCAAGGGGCTCAGTAGGCAGCTAGCACCTCGGCTGTAGTGTGTGTGCCACCACCGGGCGCCTGCGCCGGCTTCTCACTCTTTGTAACCTCGTGACACGCAGAAAGGGGTAGAATTTGCAGGGTACGTTGGATGATGGATCGAGTGCTCATGGTTGGCTGTGACCTGCCTGGTAAGGCTGACTACCCAAGGCCGAGGGAGCAGTATCTTGGTGCCCTACTCACCTGCCGCTTCTTGCTCACTGGGTCCTGTTGGCTCGGTAGCATCCCTGGAGCGCATGCAGCAAGGTGCTTTGGGAGGATGATCCAGTCCTTCCAGACTGGGGTGCCGGGGTCACAGTCCAGACAGTTTCACAGCCGTGCAGCCAGGTGGTGTATTACCTTCCGGCCGGGTCAACATTTTCTGTGTAATTTTGACAGAGAAAAAGACATTCACGAGTGGAGAGCTGCGTGCAGGGAGCCCCGGCCTCGCTGACTTGCTGAGGCACGGAGGCCGCAGCCGGAGCAGTCCTGCCGCCGAGTCCCGCAAACTGGTTCTGCACAGACTGAAGATGCACCCGCGCACCTGTCAAGAAGGCTTTGTTTTATGCTTTTACTATTAGACGGGCATGGAAGGCTGAAGACACGCCCCCCGGCCCTTCCTACGTCGCTGCACTCCCGAAGGGGCCAAGCCCGTGGGGGGACCCTGCCGCCTGGGAGATCTGAAAATGGGTCAGGGCTGTGACCGGGTTTGGGGACGTGACTCTCATGGTGGCTTGACTTAGTCCTGGGATGCACGGAGGTACGTTTCTTCTAGTTTTCACGAGGGGGTCCTCAGCAGGTGGCCCGTCTGTCTCAGATGCAGGGGCTTCAGGATCAGTGGTTCACAAGCCCGTGGCCCCATGGCTGGAGCATTCTGTGTCCTGCTCTGACCTTATTTCTATCACTTCCACCGGGCCCACTGCGCAATATTATTTATAAAAAAGCTGAAAGAATTCCCTCCCCTCCATCCTTGCGCTTAGACCATTCCTCCCCACAACGACTCTTGCGCTGGTCATGAAACTTGCTTTGGCCAAAGGGATCATCAAAAAGTGACAGTGGCAGAGAGTTGGAGAGTGCTCGTTCACCAGGTCTCCCGTGTGCTGCAGTGACCACCTGTGCGCCTAAACCACACTGCTGGAAGATGAACGGACGTACAGCAGCAGCCAGCAGCCACAGCTGAACAACCTGCCAGCTCCCAGGTATGAGAAGGAGGCTGCGATAGATAACTAACCACCGGATGGCCGCTGATGAGCAAAGGAGCCACTAGACATCACTCGCTTGCCCCCGACCTGAAGAACTGCCCAGCCCACTCAAAAGCATATGCAGAGTAAATTTTTTTTTTTTTTTTGGTACCATACATCAAATTCAGGACCTTGCGCTTGGCAGGCAGGCGCTTGTGCCACTGAGCTATATCCCTGGCCCATGCTTAGTAAAAATTGTCACTGATTAAAGCTGTTAAGTTTTGGGCCACTTGTTATGCAGCAAAGACTAACTGATACACCCATTTGCCTTAGGTGAACTGGTGCCACCCCTTGGCTGCTGCCATATTGGAATGACCTCAATCCATTGAAGTTTCCATGGCAGCCTCTGCACATGCTTTTCAGATCACAGATGACAGTCATTGCCATGCTTTCCAGAGTGCACTACTGTCCTCCGGGCCCTATCTGGAAAAAGGGTCAGGAGATGCCTCATGCCCAGGGTTTGCTGTTATCCCAGCCTTGTTTAATGCAAGCTCCAGTCACGGAGCCACCCATGGTTTCTACCAGTGCCTGATCCCTGGCGGTCACCAAATGTGGCTCCAGCACCATCCACACCCAGTTTTGCTCCCTGCCCTTCGACTGTCCCACGCATATTTCCATGATTTCACTAACATAAATTAGCAAAAGTTTGCAATGTTAAAAGCAGCTAAATGGGTGCTGTGATGCATGCCTATAATCTCAGCCACTTAAGAGGCCGAGGCAGGAGGATTGCGAGGTTGAAGCCAGCCTTAGAAATTAAGTGACATCCTATCCCAAAGTAAAAAATAAATTTTAAAAAGGGCTAGGCTCGCTGGGTGTGATGGCGCACGCCTGTAATCCCAGCACTCTGGAGGCTGAGGCAGGAGGATCGTTGTGAGTTTGAGACCAGCCTGGGCTACAAAGAGAGCTCAAGGCCAGCCTGATCTGCATAGCAAGACCCTGTCTCAAAAAGACAAAAACATAAAAAAAAATAAAAGGGCTCGGCTCTAGCTTCCCTGGGTTTGACCCCCACCCCAGTACTATCAGGGAGAAGAAAGGAGAGAAAGCAGGGAAAGGAGAAAGTTATCCGCCCTCTCCTCTCCAGCACGGCTTTCTGCCAGTCCTCCCTGGGCTGTCTGTAGCTGGCCAAAGATGTATGTCTGCAGGTCGTGCGTGTGTGTGTGTGTGTGTGTGTGTGTGTGTGTGTGTGAACCGGAGGCGGAGAGGAGGAGCATAAGCACCACACCCCCTTGAAAGGTGCTGCAGGTTTTCCTAGCACAGCAAACTTTCCTGTCTGACCTGGGACAGGGCCCCCTCTAGTACTTGGAGCTTGGGGTACTGAGACTTGAGTAGGGGTCTCTTCTACTTTCCAGAGTCCCTCTCTTCCCCAGACGAAGCCCCGCCCGTCACAAAATGGCTCAGTGGATGGATATAGTCTGCATCATCCCTCCGCACCGCACGGGATTCGATCCTGCCTCTGCTTTTCAGCTCCCTCTGCCCTGCAGCCCTGAAAGGGAAGAGCTGCCTCCAGGGAATGGTGGAACCGCCTGGTCCCTGAACACTCCTGGGAGGAGAATGTGAGGGCCTGGGACAGCTCTTGCGCTAAACTCTTTGATGATAAAGAGCACGCCCACCCCTCAGCCCCAGCACCATCCCCCGTGTACTGTACTGCCTAAGGCAGCCCCAACCCAGCCGCCACGCTGGGGGCTATAACAGCGCTTAGAGCCGAGGGACAGCAGGTGACGGTTTTGCTGCCCTACACAGCAACCCACTGCAGTCCGTTTCTCATGGTGACAAGGTCCTCGCTGCCTGTGAATCAACCAGAACAAGTCATAATTTAGAAATGAAGTGCAGGTTCCAGCCGGAGGAGGATTTGTTACCTGCAACGGTGCAGTGTGATCAAAAGACAGGGAGTGTTTAATTTTTTCACTGCCATGGGTCCCCCTCAAAGTCCCCCCCCTCGCTTCAAACACACGTGTCCCATCGTCCTTGCCGCTTTCTGAAGCAGCTCCGGAAGTGCTCTTTCCTGAGGGCCTTTAGTTGTGCTGTGTGGCTGCCTTGCCGTCCTGAGTCGATTCCAAATACTTCCCTTTCGTGGTGAATGCGTTTGGGAGGAAGCCGGAAGTCACATGGTGCCTGGTAGTAAGGTGAATGAGGACACACACTCTTGTAGTTTTCGTCTGTCCTGCTGTTGGCCTGTGGCAGCAGCATTTACCAAATTTTTGATCATCCCTTGGAAAGACACAGCATGGCAGGAACGGGGAGGAGGAGGTTGGGAACCAGGGTGGAGTCAGGCGTAGCCACAGAGTCACGCACGCAGGACTTCCGGGCTGGGCTTGCGGACTCCAGAGCTCCACGGATGGGTTTTGGTGGCTGGGAGGTGAAGGGTCACTGGCTGGGCTTCTCCTGGAGAACCCCGGGGTGGCTGAGGATGCGGGTCAGCGCTTGGGGGACGCTGCATGATGCAGGCTGGAGGAATGGTGGGAGGATGCCCAGGTGAAGCAGAACAGCCTGCTGAGGGTGGGGACTTGGGGGGCTGAGCTCCAGTTTCTGCCCTGCCCTTCTGAAGGTGGGAAGACAGAGGAGAGGGTGGGAGGGAGGGGGGAAGTCAGAGGAGGGACGTCAGCACTGCCTGAAGCCCCAGCAGCTGGGAGACAGGAGGTGGGGGTGCCCAGGGCAGAGCCTTGAGTGGCTGGGGGGGGGGTTTGGGCCCCGAAACTCTGAACTGCACAGAAGAGGAGGAAGCACTCACAGGTCCACCTCCGAGCAGCGCCAGAGGAAGTAGCAGCCACCACCAACTGTGCCTCCCACCCCTGGGGCCCCAGGAGCCCCGCGGAACCGGAACCTGCGCTGCTCTGAGCCCTGAGCCCCAGGCCTGTTGAGAAGCAGCCGGTGAGTCTTCCTGCGGCCCAGCCTGGAGCTCTGGCTGCGGGACATCCTGCCCAGCCACATGCGGTACCCTAGGGCACAGGGGAGTCCTGAGAAGCACAAGGGGGTGGGATGGGGGCGCAGAAGGCAGCCAGCGCCTCAGCTGAGGCCACACAGGGAGGGGTGGGAGTCCTTGTGTCCTGTCCACCACTGCCTGCCCCCCCGGCTCCATGCTGCTCACCGAGGAGGAAGGCAATCCCGGTGCCGAGGAAGTAGCTGAGGCCCAGGGCTGTCGAGCAGTAGAGGGGCCTCCAGGTCTGTATCCCTGGGCGGCATCAGCCCTGCTTTGAACAAGTACATCAGGGCCAGAGGAGGGAAAGCAGTGGCCCAGAGTCACACCGCCAGCGTCTGATGGGAAACGGGGCCGAGAGCCAGTCCTGGCGGCGGTGTCCCCAGGCTGCGGCCAATCTGATGACAGTGGCCCAGGGTGCCCCCACCTCCCCACAGAGCTGGGGCTCCCTGCTCCCCTCCTGCCAGGTGACCTCCCCGCCTGAATATCTGGGTGCGTGTGGGGTGCTGGGCAGATGTGGGGTGGACTGGTGGGCGGAGGGAGGGGAGCCACCTCAGCACAGCCAGGGAAGCCTCTGCAGAGAGGAACTGGCCGGGACCCGGAGGGGCCTAGCTGGCTTTGCATTGGCCTCTGGGCACGGGCAGGCCTGGCACTGCCTGCAGCAATGACAGGGGAGGGGGTACCCTCCTCCCCATGGGGCATGCGTCCTGGGCTTTGCGGGCTAGAGCCCTGAATCCCTCAAGCCCAAGAAGAGGCTGGGGGCCAAGCCCCCCTGAGGAAGCCTTTTTCAGGCCCGGGGCCCTCCGCTGTGAGCCCAGCCGCTTGGAGTGGGGACATCCCCAGCCCATCAGCTCCCTCTGTCCTCTCAGGACGGCGGTGCTGCCCGGTGTCAGCCCAGCTCCAGCTCTGGCTGGGGGGTCGGCAAAGGTACAGCTGTTTCCGGCCCCATGCAGGCAGCACCACGCCCTCCCCAGCTCTCCCCAGGGTGTCCGGGCTCTAAGCAGCACCCGTGTCTCTGAGTGAGCACAGAGTGAGCTAAGGCTCTGGGGGCCATGATGCTGTCCTCTGTCCCCGCCTCCTCCAGGGAGAAGATGGAGCCAGAGCCCCTCTACAACCTGCTGCAGCTCCCCAAGGATGTGGCGCCGCCCACAGAGGAGGAGGGGGAGGGGCTGCCGCAAGGTGCAGCAGGGGAGGGGGAGGGCGTGGGCGCGGGGTGGGGAGCCCCTGGGAGCCTGGCCCTGGAGCTGTCCTGGGCACCACTGTCCCACACACCATGGCCGGTGCAGCCCCGAGCGAGCGCAGCAGTCCCCGCCTGGGGCAGTGAGGCTGCCGCAGGAGGCCGTGCCGTGTGCCGGCTCAGCTTCTCTATTCCACTGGGACCAGCTGGCCCCCACGGCCTGTGTGTGCTGCGAATCTGGCTGCTGAGCGAGGCTTCGGGCAAGGGAGGAAGGGAGGTGTGGGCCTCAGAGGGTGCAGGGGCCTCTACAGCAGGGAGCTGGGCAGCCTGGCGGCGCCCACCTCGGCCCTGGGAGCTGGTGACATGCAGGACGTCCGGTCACATTTCCACTTTAAATGCACAAGAAATCACCTCTTAGTTAGGACGTGTCCCTAAAACCTAATCTCACTTCATCTGGGGTGACACTGACATCCCTAAGGGGAATGGGGTGACCTGCTGGGATGGAGAGGACTGCAGGTGTCTCCCCCACATGCATCATGGCCCCATGCTTCCAGGGGAAAAGAAGAAATACCTGCCACCCAATTCCCGGAAGGACCCCAAGTTCATAGAGCTGCAAAAGGTACGGCAGCCCCGAGGGCCCTGTTCCTGTCCTCAGCTCCTGCTTTGGCCCAAATCGTGTGGCTGCCACCGTGGGGCCACGAGGCAAGGCCTGGCTCGGGCCTCTCTGGGCCTCTGCTTGCTCCTCCAGGCTCTGCACTGCCTTGCTGTTGCCTCTTCCAGGGAGGCCTCCGGCTTGAACCACCTTCCCCACCCCTCCCCACCTTCGGCAAACCCACCTGGTGCAACCCTGCACTGGGTGACCAATCAAGGTCTGGCAGAGTCAGAGGCCCGAGGGGCCCCATGCCCTGCTCCTCTCCATGTGACAGGTGGTGACCTGAGCCTGGCACCCCCTGACTTGCAGATGTACCCCTTGGTCGGCACCCACGTTCCCTTCACTTTGCTCTGTGTCCTGACAACAGGGTTGACCTGGACCCCTGCCAGAAGAGCCCCGTTCGCATTTCTCCCGGCTTCTCCCCAGGGCCACCTGGGCTTTTTGTGATCGGGCGCCTGCTACCAGTTGTTCCCGTCCCCCAGTGCCACAGCCAAGTCCACATCTTTATATATCTGGGACGGTGGTGCCCACTTCCCAGCACCGAAACCCCACCCATGATGGCCCCACAGTCCTGGGGTGGGGAAACCCAGGGTCTTCGTAGCCCAGGGCAGCCCCGACCGCCTGGAGATCAGGGAGGGCTTCCCTGAGGAGGTGGCATTGAGCAGGCCTCGAAGTTTGGCTAGGCATCCTCAGGTGTGACTAGGGCACCCAGGCTGTGCCAACCTGCCCAGCTGTGCCCTGTGGGCTGCAGGTGCTGATGGAGTGGATCAACGCCACCCTCCTTCCTGAGCACATCGTGGTCCGCAGCCTGGAGGAGGACATGTTCGACGGGCTCATCCTGCACCATCTCCTCCGTAAGCCCCACCCCACCTGGCCTACTTCTGTCCCCAGAGGGGACACCTGCCCTGCTCTCCAGATGGCTGGAGTCAGGAGCTCTGGTCCTGTCAGGGTCTGGTGTCGGGTGGGGCCCTTTCAGCTCCGCCGCTCCAGCACTGATTGAGTACCTGCTGTTGCTAGGCACCAAGTGAAAAAGAGACCCGCTGTCCCCGCCTCCAGAAAAGCAGGTCCTCGCTGGCAAAGTGACCCAGGAAGCCGGGGGCAGGACTGGGCTGGGCTGGGGTCCTCCTACCTCATCCACAAAACCCTGTCTGCAAAGCCCCTCATGAACAGAGCCATCTCGCAGCCCTGCAGGTTTTCCCAAGCCCTGGAGCCCCGCCTGCCTTGGCACCCAGGCTGGTGTGTCCACGTCAGTCTGCTGCACTGAATTATGGGTGGGGGCACTGTGTCCTTAGCACCCCTCTGGGGCCGGGCTCATCAGGTCTGCTGAGCCTCCTGCCAGCCATGGCCAAGGCTTCCTAGGCTCTTCCTGGGGCAGGCGCAGTCGGTCCTCTGAACAGCTCTGTATGCTTCCTGGCCCCACTTTACAGATGAGGAAACGGGGCTCTGGGAGGCCAGTGGCGTGTTCAAGGTCTCACAGTGAAGAAAGCAGGGGTCAGCCAGGGGTGGTAGCCTGTGTCTTTAATTTTAGCACTCTGGGAGGCTGAGGCAGGAGGATTGCAAGTTCAAGCCTAGTCTGGGCAACTGAGCACCTTAGCGAGATGATGTCTTAAAGGATAAAAAAGGGTTGGAGATGTAGATCAGTGGGCAGACCCTGGGTTCACTTCCCAGTACCACCAAAAGGAAGAAAGAAAGAAGAAAAGAAAAAAATGGGGCAGGAACGAACCCAGGAGCCCAGGAGTCCAGGCTTTAAGCACTAGGCCACACAGCGCTGCAGGAATGCAGTAGCCATCGCTGGGCAGACCCAGGCCCAGTGGTACCGAGTGGAGTGGGCCGGAGAGGCAGCTGGGAGGGCTGTGACCTGCTCCCGACACACAGCCCGCCGCTCGGTCCCGTTTCCTGAGTGGACCGGGCCTCCCGAGGTGGATGAGCCCACGCGGCTGAGCTGCCGATGCCCTGCACACGGCCTGTTCTGTCCCTGTGCAGCCGCTACCCTGCTCAGCACTCGCACCCTCTCCTGCTGCAGAGAAGCTGGCGGGGCTCCAGCTGGAGGCCGAGGAAATCGCCCTGACCGCCGCCAGCCAGAGGCGCAAGCTCCAGGTGGTGCTGGGGGCTGTGAACCAGAGCCTGCAGCTGGAGGAGCCACAGGACATGTGGAGCGTGGAGGGTGCGTGGCTGGGGGTGGGGGCACCGGGTCCAAACTGCGGGCACTGGGTACCAGAGGCAGGATGTACCATCTCCCAGATCCGTTTAACCCATAGCTGCAGCGCCTGCCTTTTAGCAATTGAGAGGGTGCGGAAACAGTCAGACCTCCCTGCAGCACCCCGTTAGCTATTGGGTGAAGATTATTTTGCCACTCTGTTCTCCGACTCTTCCCATCTTCCGGAGGGGGAGACTGAGGCCCAGAGAAGTTGAGCAGCTCCTCCAAGGTTGGGAGACAGTGGTGTAACAGAAAGCCCATCGCCAAAGCCTGTTTATTGGGTCCTGTTCCCTCCCCTATCAATCATTCCATGCGGTGACCCTGAATTAAGTCACAGGTGGCGTACATCGGACGAGGGTTCAGTCACTTGGGCCATGGGCCACTTTGCTGTCCCATGTAAACAGCGCTGTGGGGAGCATCTCGTGTGTAATGCTTTGTCCCTGTCCACGCAGCAACCTGCACCCTCAAACTGTGATCACAGGGCTGCCCGCAGTCACCCTCATTTCCAGTGGGGAGGTTGATGAGTGGGTTCCACTGTACCCTCAAGAGCCCAGGAACGTGTGGGGCTTTGTGCTTTGCTCCCTTGTCTTCCTGAGTTCTGAGAATTGCCAGGATCTCAATGGAGTCACTTGAGTCAAGCGCTAACCCCAAAATTGGTCTGCGGAGGGTGGCTCTGAGGACCAGGAGGCCTCCTTTCAGCGGCTGCTCCGTGGCGGCCTGCTCTGACCTGTGCACCTCTCCCCTCCCAGCCATCTTCAACAAGGACCTGCTGGCCACGCTGCACCTCCTTGTGGCCCTGGCCCAGCGCTTCCAGCCCAACCTGGCCCTGCCGCCCAACGTCAGGGTGGAGGCTGTCACCATCGAGGTAACCGGCCATCTGTTCGAGCTGACACCTGTGTCCCAGGCTGCGTGGGGCAGGGGTGATCCAGGCTGGCAGACCCAGCAGGTGCCCCCGGGACCACAGTGGGGCAGCACCAAGGGCTGGGGTCAGGGCCCCTAGGGAGATCCCATCCGGTGACACCTCTGTCACGTGACCACGCTGGGGCTGTTGGGGACTTTCACCACTGAGGCAAAACTGCCACCCTCCCCTGAGACGTCACCGGCTCCCAGCCCATCCTACCTGTGCCCAGCTAGTGCCCAGGATTCTGTGCTCCAAGCACACAGCAAGGGCGCCCTCCTGCTCCTGCTGGGTCCTGAGGCACAGGCCCCTCCTGGTTCGCCCTAACGGGGCAAGCCGCGTCCTGCCCAGCCCACTCACACTCAGTCCTACCTTTTCCAAACCCCTCGTTAAAACTCCCCCGAGCGGGTCTGTGGCTTTGCTTCTGCATGTTTGAGTCGGAGGGGACGACACTGATGTCCTCACCACCCCCGTCAGTCATTCATGCCCACCCCCATCACTGACACCATCCCCAAGACCCAAACTACCTCAGGGAACGAAGGGGTCACGTTCCCGTCCTCGCGGCCCGAGACAGATGCGCCCTGGGAGGGGCTGAGACAGGGCGGGCTGGTCCCCCAGGGAAGCTTCGGGCCACCAGGAGGGGGGCCAGTGGTCCCTCACTTTGCTCTCGTAGAGAACCAAGAGCGGCCTCAAGTCGGAGAAGTCGGTGGAGCAGCTCACAGCGAGCAGGTGAGGACAAGCGGGCCTGTCTGTCTCTGCGCCTGCTCCTGTTGCCCTGTGTGGCATGCAAGTCCCCTGCAGGCCCCTGCCTGGCCCCCTGCAGCCACCCGCGCGTTCCCTGCGGTGCATCTGGGGAACACAGATTCTGGGCTTGGGACACAGGTTCTGCCCAGCAGGTCGCAGAGCCTCTCTGGTTGGAGCAGAACATTTCTGTCCTTGTGCTGCTACAGAGGTTGCAGAGACAGTGCAGCTGAGGATGGGGGTGGGGGCGAGGATGGGTGTCCGCCTGCGACACCACACTCTCAGTGGTGTGACTCTCTCCCAGCGGCCTCTGGGAGGCCTGGGAGCGGCACCTGCAGGGATGCACACTCTCCTTCTGTGTCTCTTTTCACCGAGGGCCCTCTGGGCATGGCTGTCACTAGCATGTCCTCTGCGTCAGGTTTTTTCACCCCTATTCTTTTGATTCTGGCACTGTGTCTTCAGACCTGCCCCTGCTCCACAGAAGCAAGTTCTCTGCCTCCAGAGGTGGCAAAACTCCTCTGGCCAGGGTCCCCAGGAGGGAGTTGGGCCACACAGGCTGGTGGCCATTCTTCCTTCACTGACTTCGCATGCAGCTGGCTCACTCCTGGGTACGGCTGGGTGAACCTGGTTGCTGCTGGTGATGTTGAAGGCTTTTGGCTACTTGTATCAGTTACCAGTTGCTGTGTAACAAGTGAGCCCAACTGAGCATCTGAGAAGCCCTGCAAGTGTTCATTCTTCTCACAGTTTTGGTGGCCCTTCCTGCACTCCAGAAGCAGCTTAGCTGGGGGTTTTTAGCTCATGGTTTCTCAGGGGGCTGCTGTCAAGCTGTGAGCCAGGGCTACATCCCTGTGCTTGCCACCCTGGGTGACCCGGCTCCTTCCTGGAGCACTGTGGTCAGAGGGGCTTGACCTGCCCGCCAGGCTGCCGGGAATGCAATGAGCGCGCTCTGTCCCTGTGACCTGTGGCGCTGAGCTTGGCAAGGCGGGGATGTTCTAGGTCTGCAGATTTTCTCTAACTGTTCTTTTCCTTTTTTCCCTCCTGTAATTACCCTTGTAGTACAGACAAGGACCAAGCTCTGAGTGAGTACTTTGCTAGCAGAAGGAGAGGCTTCCTTTCTGATGTGGCTTGGGGTGGACATGCAGGGAGGGTGGTTAGCTGCTGGTGCTCCCTTCTTCCCCTGTCGTCTGCCATGTGGCCTCAAGCTTCATTCCTGTTGTCTGTGCCTCCCCCCGTCCATCTGTCCATCCGTGGAGCTGGCTGCATGCTACCGTCCCTTTGGGGACAGACATTTAGAAGCCACGTAGGGATGGTGATGTGGAGTCATTGGCTATGTGCATCTAGAGCCAGAAAACTTGGGTGCAAGAATGAATTTTCCCCCTCATTAGCCATGTGGGCTCAGGCAGTTGTCTTAGCAGCCCGTGCCTTAGTTTCCTCAACAACAAACTGGGATTAGTAATAACACCTACTTCTTCAGCTAGTGGTGAGCTCAAGAGATGGTGTGTGGTGCATTTAACATGAGGAGTGCTCAGGGGCGAGTGCTTAATTGTGTGGCTGCTGCTGTCCTGATGGAGAAGTTAACCAACTGACTGGTTAATGATATCCAATTGCTACTTGTCTTACTCATCATTCCTTGGTGGAATGGTCAGCTATTAATCCATTCACCCATCATTTCTTCCATTTATCCATCCATCCATCCATCCATGTATCCATCCATCCAGCAACCCATCCATCCATCTGTTTGTCTGTCCATCTGTCTATCCATTGGTCCATCCATCCATCCATCTGCCCACTTGCCATCCATCCATCCATCCACCCATCCACCCATCCAACCACTCATCCATTCATCCATCCACCATCTGTTCGTCCATCCATCTGTCCATCCATTGGTCCATCCATCCATCCATCTGCCCACTTGCCCACCCATCCATCCACCCATCCATCCACTCATCCATAAACCCATCCATCCATCCATCCATCCATCCATCCATCCATCCATCCACTCATCCATCCATCCATCCACTCATCCATAAATCCATCCATCCATCCATCCATCCATCCATCCATCCACTCATCCATAAATCCATCCATCCATCCATCCATCCATCCATCCATCCATCCA